TAATAAAAATGAAAAATTATGGCAAAATAGCGGGTGTCGTATCATAATGTTAGGTGCCGGCGAGTCGGTGAGAGGTCAAGTTTTCGAGTCAGCTAGCTTACATGAGGGGTTTTAAAGGTCACTAAATGATCAATGCATATGGTGTTATGACTTAATATATAGAGTAAAAATGAAAACAAATTACAACAAAATGGCGGGTGTAGTATCCTGTTATTAGGTGCGATGGCTTAGTGAAAGGGGTTTTGTTGTTGTGTCAGCTAGTTATATGAGAGGTATCATGGGTCACCATGAGCCCCTGTGCTTATATGATGCTATGACTTTACGAAGAGTAAAAAGGAAAAATTATGGCAAAATGGCAGGTGTCATTTCATGATGTTAGGTGCTGGAGGCTGGGGGAGGCAAGTTGTGTTAGTTAAATGAGGAGTTTTAGGGGTCTTTGAAAGGTCACTACTTATAGTGCTATGTCTTCAACCAAACCTTCACTGAGGCCTGAATCCAGGACCTCCAGCACTCGAGGAGGACGCCATGCCTCGAGACCACACGGCCCCCTCCTCCAAATTTCTCTCCAGTGCTCAGCTCATGCTGGATGTCAGTGTTTTACTTCCTCTTGACCCATGGTATTCTAACAATTGTTCTGTGGCATTTCAGTTCAAAAGAATCCTGCTATACCCGCCAACACAGCTCTCACACGGACACCAGAGGGAAAGAGAAAAAAAGGGTGCCCAAAAACAACATAGGGACAAACGATGGAGAGTGACCTGAATGTGCCATCTTTGATATGATAAACTGAACTGAAGATTGCACAGGACAGTTAAACCTGTGCTGTAATGTGTGAGGTTTGGAGGTTAGGGCAATGGTTTTACGATGCAGTCATAAACGTTTGCCAGGGTTCCATTCCCGCGTGTGCGGTTTAGAAGAAGATCCATTTCGCAGATTTCAGACTGTGGTACAAGAGTTGCACCCTGGAGGAGACTGGGGCATCATTAAATATTTCCGTAGCTGCAGTGGATACACATCAGCCAGACTCTCTGTGAAGACAGCACCATTTGTTGTGATGTGTCTTCTTTTTTTCTTCTGCTGCTGCTTCTTCTTCTTCTACATTTTCTTATTCTTCATTTAGGTCCATTTAACTTTTTTATTACTTTAAATGTAATAAAGATAAAGGGCCCTAGTTAAGTCCATGAGTGGACGAACAACCAGAACTTTCCGCCAGTTTACATAGTTAAACGCCTAAGGACTTAAAGACTGTTGTGATAATGTTCACATCATTTGAGATATGGTAGTCCTGAAGTAACAACTGCTTGCTACTGAAAGAGTTAATCAATACGTCCTCTGTGAACAGCTTTTAAGTTTCTTGTAATCTTAGTTTCAGCTTCATAGCAAAGGGGTCACCCCATAGTATCTTCGCTCCTGTGCCAACAGAAGACACACAGAATGTTCAACAATGTCTCTTGTGGAAAACTGACACAGACTGCAGCCTGAGCATATTCACCAGCACACACACACATTAAACGCATAAGGCAGCCATCAGAAGTGCTAACACAAACAGTCCAACATTAGAATGCAGTTCATCATCGACGGAAGCAGCAGCTGCAAACAGATGAGCAGTTGCACACACGATCAATTTAAATCACCTAGGGCACCACCAATTCTGTGGCAACAGGCCAGGCACATTTGGGGGGGGGGGGGGATATACAGCTCACATTTCAGTTTTTAAAAAAATATTCCAAATGAAATCCTCAGCTCACAGTGTCACGCCATGCACCCAACTCAGTAGCTGGGTGATAAAACTATATCCTTTCAGTCTACACATGAAGGAAAATGCAACGGCCACTTTCTGTCAAAAGTCAAACATTTGCCTGACTAAAAATAGCGTCTGTGCCATGCGTCCATTTTGACCGGCAATTTCTTTAACTTTGTGAAGATAAGATGTCCAAAGCGGTGATTCTTAAACTTTTTATTTTACACCCACGACTACAAAAACAAATTAAATGATTTCACAGCCCACCAAAACAAGGCAAAAAATTTCACAGCCCACCAAAACAAGGGAAATGGTTTCACAGCCCACCAAAACAAGGGAAATGGTTTCACAGCCCACCAAAACAAGGGAAATGGTTTCACAGCCCACCAAAACAAGGGAAATAGTTTCACAGCTCACCAAAACAAGGGAAATGGTTTCACAGCCCACCAAAACAGGGTAAATTGTTTCACAGCCCATCAAGACAAGGGAACTGGTTTCACAGCCCACCAAAACAAGGGCAATGGTTTCACAGCCCACCAAAACAAGGGAAATGGTTTCACAGCCCACCAAAACAAGGGCAATGGTTTCACAGCCAAACAAACCAAGGGAAATGGTTTCACAGCCCACCAAAACAGGGGAAATTGTTTCACAGCCCACTCAAACAAGGGAAATGGTTTCACAGCCCACCAAAACAAGGAAAATGGTTTCACAGCCAAACAAAACAAGGGAAATGGTTTCACAGCCCACCAAGACAAGGGAATTGTTTCACAGCCCACCAAAACAAGGGCAATGGTTTCACAGCCCACCAAAACAAGGGAAATGGTTTCACAGCCAAACAAAACAAGGGAAATTGTTTCACAGCCAACTAAAACAGGGGAAATTGTTTCACAGCCCACAAAAACAAGGGAAATTGTTTCACAGCCCACCAAAACAAGGGAAATTGTTTCACATCCCACCAAAACAAGGGAAATTGTTTGACAGCCTACCAAACAAGGGAAATTGTTTCACAGCCCACCAAAATAAGGGAAATGGTTTCACAGCCCAGCTGAAACTAACCAAACACAAAAGCAAAAATAAATGTAGACAGCATTTTATTGGTTAAATCCAAGGTCACAAAATTAATTTTCAGCAAATGCTACATCACTGCTGCCTATGGGTTAAAATATGCAATCTGAGTACCCCAATAACGCAGCATACCAATACTGCACGCAATTCTGTTGTTGTTTGAAAGCCCCCCAACCCTGGCTGTTTCTGGGGCCCTAATATAACCCTACCTATGGGTTGAACGGGGTTTCTAGGACATGTCCTCGGGTGATCCTCATCCGAAAGGTGGCACGTTGTGTCAACGCGTGTTTTTTTGCTCGGTGTGATCTCCTAATGGGGTTGACCATTAATCAGACAGCCCCAACAAAAACCGTTTTATGTGGTCGAACAGCGTTTCTGGTATTGGAACTCAGTTTTTATTAATCTTCTTCTTCTTCGCGTTCACCAGCTGTAAACTCTGGCGGAAAGTTATGGTTGCTCGTCCACTACTGAACTGCAGTCTTGCTCCAGAACCTGAATGTTGCATGTGCATCAGTTTTACAGATCTCATCCTCTTGAATACAGACTGTTGGTTCATTGCCTCTCCGGCAGATGCACTCCGACTTCAAAGGAAGCTTCCCAATTAGTCGACTCTTACGACATGCTTTTGGGGAGGCAGTGGGTCTATTCTTGTTTTCCCCACAATGGGGCCCCGGAATCCACACGAGGGTTTTTATATAATGACCGTGTGAGTATGCATAAGGTTGTATATGCATGTTTGTGTATGAATGTGTAGGTATATATGAGAGTGTATTATCCGTATGAATGGTTATGTGGCTGGTATGTACTTACGTACGTACGTATGTATGTGTGCAAGTGTGCGAGTGTACATGTGCAATTAAGGGTGTATATGCATGTTTGTATATGAATGTATAGGTATAATATGTATGTATCTGTGTATGTGTGGGTATATATGAGAGTGTATTATCCGTATGAGTGGTTATGTGGCTTGTATGTACTTACGTACGTAGGTATGTATGTTTGTGTATGGTATGCAAGTGTGCGAGTGTACATGTGCAATTACCATCAATCCCCCCCCCCCCTTTTCCCATTGATATTCATGTTAAGCTTACCGTTAATTAACATAATATGCTTTACTGATAAAATACAATAGAAGTGAGAAAGGTGAGTGTTTGGAAGGGCCGAATGTCAGACGACCATGCGTGCCCAATTTGCAACCCTTTGAAAATAAAGTGTGTTCGTCCATTCTTGAGGTGTTAGTCGTCCCACAGACTGCAATCCTGGAAGAGAAAATCGACCTACCCTACCCCGTTACATGATAAGGCAAACATTTTGGCAGCCCACTTGGACTTATCCATGGTCTACCAAGGGGAAGCAGCCCACTTGGACTTATCCATGGCCTAGCAAGAGGAAGCAGCCCACTTAGGACTTATCCATGGCCTACCAAGGGGAAGCAGCCCACTTGGGACTTATCCATGGCCTACCAAGGGGAAGCAGCCCACTTGGGACTTATCCATGGCCTACCAAGGGGGAAGCAGCCCACTTGGGACTTTTCCATGGTCTACCAAGGGGAAGCAGCCCACTTGGACTTATCCATGACCTACCAAGGGGAAGCAGCCCACTTGGACTTATCCATGGCCTACCAAGGGCAGGCAGCCCACTTAAACTTATCCACGGCCTACCAAGGGGCAGCGGCCCACTTGAACTTATCCACGGCCTACCAAGGAGCAGCGGCCCACTTGAACTTATCCACGGCATACCAAGGGAGCAGCGATCCATGGGTTAAATACCACTGCTATTAAGTATCTAAACATAAAATTAACACCTTTGAAATGAGATGTTCGAGAAAAGCCGCTGACTTAACCATCTGAGACAACGTTAGAAGTGGTTTTATCAGACAGACTGTAGGAACAACACCATGCAGTAAATTCTTTGAGAAAATGGTTTAGCAAGAATGCAGTCAGAGCAATTACCAACCAAGTAAAAAGAACTGAAGTGAAAGCAAGAGAACTCCTAGCAGAATATGGATTGATGACATTAAAGAGCTTCTACATCGACCAGAATGACAATAGCCACTGCTGCCCATCAAGCAATGGATCACAATCTGCTCCTCCCCACAACGCTTAATCAGAAGTGGACATTGATGATGATGATGATGATGGTGATGATGATGATGATGAAGATAAGGTCTCTGAGAAGGTGAGACTGGTTTAAATTATATGGGCATGATTATGTCTATTAATGAGAAGGCAAAAGCTACTCCTGCGGTAAAGCCAGTGGCCATGAAGAAGTTCTCCTCATAAAATGTCTGCACCTGGTAAAATAAAAAAATTTGAAAAAGTATATACTTTGAACAATATACTGTGAATATATTAATATAATCATTAATATCATCACCATCATTAAGATCATCATTATAAACATCATCATAATCATTACTAGTATCATTATAACAAAACAAATTATCATCAGTATTATTAATACTACTATCATTAATATTATTGCCATAGGTAGTATCATCGTAACATCAACAAATTAAACTTACTGCCATTAATAGTATCATTTTAACATCATCGTTAATATCAGTAACACTGACGTCAACAATACCCCCCATCATTAACATTTCTGCCATTAAGAGTATAATCCTTGACATCCCCATCATCAGTACCATTAACACCACCATCATTAACATTACTGTCATTAAGAGCATCATCCTTGATATTATCACCAGTAACATTATAACTGTTAACATCAACTACCATTATCAAACATTATCAATGCTGTTATCATTACGGTTTGCATGATTATATTTAACTTAGTCTTAGTCGAGGTTTCAACTTCACTACAATCGGGGTTTTCCCATACTTGCTCTGCTCCTGTGCCAGTGAGAATCAAATGAAATGTCCCTCACTGTCTCATTTGAAAAACTGGTGAACAAACAATTAGTCCTGGGACAATACGAAATATGCGCACGCAGTAAATGCATATGGCAGTTACTAGAAGCGCCAAAGCCAACATTCGCCGCCAGAAATGCAGTTGTCATTAATGGAAGTAGTCAGGCACGATAAGTTGACCATACACAATTATTACATATCTTTAACATTATCTTTAGTAACATCATCGTCCTGTGGATGTTCCGAAACGCCATTCTGATGTAGGGGAGGGAAGAATAATCCCCGCCCCAAAGAGGGAAGAATAATCCCCGCCCCAAAGAGGAAAGAATAATCCCCGCCCCAAAACAAGCATGCTGCACACGGCATCTAATTAGGAGTCCATCTGCTTGAGAGGTAAGGAACCAACAGTCTGCATACAAATAAATCAGATCTGTGAAATGGATGTGAATATAAATCAAGTTCTGGATCAAGCTCAAAGTCCAGAAGTGAATAAACAACCAGAACTTTCCTCGTTTACAACTGTTGAAGCTAAAGAGAAGAAGAAAACATCTTCGCCATAATAATTTTCATTAGCATTAGAATCATTCACAATATCGCCATTAGTTCCATCCTTATTAACACTATTATTTAACAAACAAAACAAACAAACAAAAACAGAAATGATAAAGAGGGACAGAGCAACAAAGAACTTGCCTGTCTAAATACTGAATGCCTGTGCTTCATTACAAAATTTTTCACCTTGGCATCCTGCTGGGTTAAACAATGTTTCACCTTAGTCCAGTCCACCTTAATGTAGCCCTGGTACTGTGCCAACTGTGGATCAGCAAAATAAAAGTCAAGAAGTAAATTCAAGCCAGCATCACATCAGGCAAGTCACTTCTTCTTCTTCTTATGATGCTATTTCTTCTTCTTCTTCTACTTCTTTTGCTGCTGCTTTGTTTCTTCGTCTTCTTCTTTTTCTGCTGCTGCTGCTTCTTCTTCTTCTTTTTCTTTTTCTTCTGATGCTACTTCTTCAGCTTCTTCTACTTCTTTTTCTGCTGCTTTGTTTCTTCCTCTTCTTCTTTTTCTGCTGCTGCTTCTTTTTCTTCTTCTTCGGCTTCTTCATGTTCAACGGCTGTAAACTCCGGCGGAAAGTTCTGGGTGCTCCCCCACCTGCAGACTGTAGTCTTCCGTTTCAAAGATCTGGCTTATATGTATTCACTCTTGGTTCCTTGCCTCTCAGGCAGAGGTAACCTGACTTCAAAGGATGCCCTCAATTAGTCGACTCATAAGACATGCTTCTTGGGGAGGCAGTGGGTTTCTTCTTGTTTTTCTCACAACAGGGCCCCTTGAACTCACAGGGGACATCAGGCAAGTGATACTGTAAGAATATTTTTATAAGCTTTTATTAAGCTTACTTTTCGTTTGTCTGGTACGATATTTGCTTTTGATTTTTGTTTTTTGTATAGACTGATTTTACTTTCTAAGATATTTTGTCAGTACCCATTTTAGGATGTGTGTGTGTATATATATATATATATATATATATATATATATATATATATATATATATATATATAAAGAAATCTGCTTGTTGTGGCTCCAAATCTTTAGGTCGGCAGGCTAGCCTCTAGCAACTGCTTCTGTTGGTAAGATTTTTATTTTATGAGCCAACCATTATTTACAGTGACATTCTGTTTCCATGGGAATGGCAAACAGATAAATACGTTAATGACTTGACCATATGGGTCAGAAGGGACAAGAACACTGGCCTGATCTGTGATTCTGAGGATCGTGTGAGATGGTGAAACATGACAGCACATGATGCTGATAGCTCTATTTCTATCCGTGCCGTCTTCGCGCATCCAGTATCATGTGTTCTTGGCTTCAGGCTAGATGTTACCCAGGCCCTTTTGAAGCAAGTGAATAGTGCGGAGGCACAAATAGAGCACCAAGGTCTATAGAGAATGGTGCAGCGGCCAGTGACCAGGGCATCTGACTAAGACTAATGATGAGACAGACATACACACAGACTGCTACTGGTACCATCGAAATTCGAACTCTTGCGCTGCTGGAGGCTGGCAGAAATGAACCAACACATGTCGAGTAGCTTGGTACAAAATAGTAAAAAGACTTATCATTATCATGTGCTCTGCCAACAGGCACTAATGCATCTCCACAGATCATGATCCCTGGTTGCCTGGAACAGCTCTCTTGATGATAATCCTCCGCTTCATCATTTAAGCCCATTCAGCATAATCTCTCTTGGTCTGCCTCTACCCCTCTTTCCACTGATCTTTCCAGTTGTCATGATATTTTCCAATGCCTCTCTTCTCATTATATAGCTTATTATTGTTGTATATAGAGAGCTACTTTCATTAGCTTCTTTCAAACAATTGTTGTTAGTTACTCTAGCCGTCCAAGGTATTCGTAACATTCATCTCAGAAACCACATCTCTGTTGCTTCCAAATTCTTCTTAATTTGTTCACGGAAATTCCTACATTCGCTGCCATACAGCAGAACTGTTTGTATGTAATATTTTAGCACTCTCTTTCTGACATTAAATGAGAGCGACTTATTGCATAAGATATTTTTCATTTGTAAACAGACTTATAATTTTAAAAAATTAGAGAGAGAAAGAGTTAAGGCAATGCTTAAAGGAGGAAGACAGCAATACATGTAAAAGTAAAGGACCCTTTTTTCACGCCTTCAGGAATGTTGGGCATATAGGGCTAGACCCATATTTTATAGCCAATCGGCACATGGTGGGTGATATGGTCTACATTATGCCAGAGCAAGACTAGAGGGAGGATAGAATCAAGAGAAGAACAAACAGCGGTCTCAGAGCGTGTACAAAAAAGGTGAGAGACAGACAATGGTGGAGATCTATTACAGCTAACCTTCACTGTAGAGACGGCACCTGATGGACTGGTTGATTAATAATAAAAATAGGAGTACGCTGAGGGACATACTTGAGATGGGATCAGAGCTCTTATGGACTTTTCCCATGGGCGATGAGGATAATCGGTCGACTAACTAACTAACAGTTATATTGGGGCACCATAAAACGGTTACAATGTAACCTGTAGTCCATTGAGGGTAGGTCTTGATCTGTTTTTAGTCTTAGTTCTTGAAATGAGGATGTCACAAGATGTATGCAACGTCACTCACAACTTACTTGGGTCAGAAAGAGGCCACCACCCACACAAATCGCAGCCAATTGTCCAACCTTCTTTGCTAAGTAACCTGATATCCTGGCAAGTTAAATCAGATAAGTCTGTTTACTGAAAATGTTTTCTTGCCCTCTGTCTTCTTTTTTTCTAATTTCTTCTTCATGCTTCTTCTGAGTTTTTTTTTTTTTTCTTCTTTCTCCTGCTTCTTTTTTGTCTTCTTCTTTATTCTTTTTCTTTTTCATCTTTCTCCTCCCCCTTTTTAAGAGGGAGGGGAGTCTTTTTCTTTAATTGTTTTTCGTTTCATTCTTCTGAACTGACCTTTCTACTAACAAATTCTCAATCATTTACGAACTGATAACAAACTACTAAGTAATTCAGTAATTCCTTCAAAGTTAATTACCTGGCCACAACCTGAGGATTCCCCCCCCCCCTCCTTCCCCCAAGGTCAAATTTCTACCAGATAAAATCCCAAATTTTCTAAGCTGACCACACCTATCTACTAACTGAACCCAAAACTGACCTTAACTAGAAGTTTTGCTGTACATCTCACTACCATTAAACAATGTTCAGGTTTATCAACCAAATACAGTTAACCATACTATCCACTAACCACAGGTTTTGAACACAATAAGCGGGAAGGCTAACCCGGGTTACAAATGCCTGTAGAAGTTGGATGTGTTGGCCAAAAGGTGCAAATAAGTTGTAAGCCGGCACATCACAATTATGTTCTTTTAATTAACGCAGGAGGGGTGGGGAGAATACTCATTACATCTAGCTACCATCCAACAACTACATGTTTTTATAACAACATGCACTAACAACCGCAGGTTTTTTTGTTTTGTTTACCAAATACACCCAATTACTATCTAACAACTACAGTTTTTGAGTGAGATACATCTAACTACCATCTAAAATCCACATCTTTGTTAACCAAAATACATCTAACTACTGTCCAACAACTAACCAAATTCATGAACCAAAAACAAACTACCATCTGACAATTAAACAAAAACAACCAACTACCATCCGACAACTAGCCAAATTCATGAACCAAAAACATCTAACTACCATCCCACAACTGACCATGTTTATTAACCAAAAACATCCAACTACCATCCCACAACTGACCATGTTTATGAACCAAAAACATCCAAATATCATCCCACAACTAACCAAATTCATGAACAAAAAACATTCAACTATCATCCCACATCTGACCAGGTTTACAAACCAAATACATTCAACTACCATCCCACAACTAACCATGTTCATGAACCAAAAATATCCAACTACCATCCCACAACTGACCATGTTTATTACCCAAAAATATCCAACTACTATCCCACAACTGACCATGTTCATGAACCAAAAACATCCGACTACCATCCCACAACTGACCATGTTTATGAACCAAAAACATCCAACTACGATCCTAAAACTGACTATGTTTATGAACCAAAAACATCCAACTACCATCGGACTATTAACCAAAATCATGAACCAAAAACATCCGACTACCATCCCACAACTGACCATGTTTATGAACCAAAAATATCCAACTATCATCCCCCAACTAACCATGTTCATGAACTAGATACATCCAGCTATCTTCCCACAACCATGTTCATGAACCAAATATTTTAAACTACCATCCAATGACTATGTTTATAAACCAAATACACCCAACTATCATCTCATGACAAACCACGTTTATGAACCAAAAACATCCAACTACCATCCCACAACTGACCATGTTTATGAACCAAATACATCGCACCATCTAAAATTTAATTGTCTGTAATGTAATTATATGTTTTGGTTTTGTTTGAGCATTCAAAAATTGCTACCACAAATGTAACATCATCATCACCATCATCATCAGTATCCACTTCTGGTGTGACGTGCCATGGGGAGGAACAGTTTGCGATCCACTCCTTTATGTGCCCCATCATCATGATATAAGGTCGTCGGTAACTAGCTTATGTTGACTGTCTGATCAGTTCCCTTTACCTCTGTTGGTCAGATGCAGTGAACTTTATGTTCAAAGGCTTGAGACTTGTCCAGTCAGCTAAGCTCTATCCAGCTCTCCTTGTCTGCCTCTTCCCTTTTATTGAGCCCAAAAGTATTGTTTTGGAAAGGCTACAAGAACTTAGTAATTATTTTTCTATAAGTAAAAGTAAAAGTAAAGGACCCTTTTCCACACCATATAGGGCTAGACCTTTTTTTTATACACCCATCGGCACAAGATGGGTAATGTGGTCAGCATCACCCCGGCCGTCTTTACTTTCCCGGGACTGCACCCGGTACCCACTCAAGGCTGGGTCGACCTGGCAGCCAAGGATATTTTTGAAAAAAGTCCGGCTCCGCCAGGGAGCGAACCCACGACCTTCCGATCCGTGACGAGCGTCTAGCCGTGCGGCCACAGCGACTCCCATTATATATCTGTACCATTGCATTTTCTGTCTTTTCACTGCTGTTAAAGAAATTCATAGCTGCCAGTGTGTTGGGTAATAATACAGTGAACTCTTTCATGTGTCTAAGTTTAGCATACCATCATCATGTAGCAGGTCCTTTGCAGAACGTCGCTCTCATCCCGGTCTGCCTGAAAGAAACTTGGTCTCTCGCCAGCTCTCCCACCTCATGTACTTTCAAACTCAAGGAGTCACTTATATCCTGTGCCACCATGCTTTCTGCTATTATTTTTTCCAATCCGTTGTGGCGCTTTATATGACCACAATATTTCAGCTTCCAAGACAGTTTAGCATATAGCATGGTAATAGATGTTTTTAAGCAGACTGTTGGTTCCTTACCTTTCCCTCCAACTGCGAAAAAAACACACCCTAATTAGTCCCTCCTATGACATGCTTGTTGGGAGAAGACAGTAGGTATATCACCCCCACCCCCCCCCCCCCCCCCCCAGCCACCCACACCAGGCACTGGAACCACAACAGAGAAAATATCCGTTTATATGTTAATTTTTTTGTGTGTTAAATAATACTCTTATCCATGGAACAAGACTAAAGTCTAGAAGTGGACGAATAACCAGACTTTTTTGCCGGAGTTTACAGCCAGTAAGCGCCAAGAAAATAATGTCTAGCATCATATGCCCAATAGGCCACTAGCAGGAAAAGGGTCATTTACTTTTATGACAAGGAATATGCTGGAGAACTAGATGACAGCTGACTAGACTGAGAGAAAAGTGGATATGGGAGTAAAAAGACCTAGATGACTTGGCCACATGATTGCTGTGAAATAAGAGCACTGACCTTATCCGTGATAATGGTCATCATTGATAAACCGTAACCGCCTATTCTTATCTGCACGGTACATAATCATGAAGACGATGTCAAACTATCTACAATCTAAAAATTCCTCCTATTGCAAACTGCCTGACTGACTATCAGCATGGTACCTAATGATGATGAGGATGATGATGGTAGTAATAATGATGAAACTACCTACCATCCAAAAACACCTCCTATTGCAAACTGTCTGAACGCCGAAGAAGCTGTTACATCCCCCAGAAAGAAATCTCTGATGGATTCTAGGTAACAACCAGTTTCTTGTGGTTCCAATATACTATAGTCCAGCGACTCAATTTCACTTAGCGACTCTTCATCGCTATCATCAAACACTTCTGGTGGCTCAACTTTCTTTTCCGGGATTTTCGGTGGGTTTGGTTTCACTGATGCTGACGGTCTCTTATATGGCTCGGAAGTAGAAGGGGCAACTGTGAATTGTGCTTTCTTTTGCATTTCCTTCATAAAATATCTGAAACGATTCAATTAATTAATGACTTTTGATTCATTCTTGGAGGAAAACACTGAGCAAATGCATTTCAACTGATCATTTATAAATACCTTGAAGAATTATGTTTCAGGTGGGTGTAAATCTTTTTTTAAAGATGAGTGTTCAGTTACTTGAATGATTTATTTTTATTTAGCACCGCTTGTTCTGCCTGGCTTTGACTGCAACCTCTTGGAGCCTCAAGGCTGTGAAACTGGCACTTTGAATAGTGTTACCGCTTTTTTTTTCGATATCTTGCCATTCATTAATCTTAATCTGCCTCATTAAAGTTAACAGATGCAACGTATAACTCCTCGTCTTTGCTCATGTTTCGACATAGTTGCTTAATTGATATAATAAAGCAATCAAAGTTGGCTTGAGAATTTGAACATTTTGGAGTTCTACTTTTGGCAAGGACAGATTTTGTTTCTGCGATTGGAAGAGCGGTCTCTCTATACAGGAATGGTTTCCCCTACGTACGATTCATATCGACCAATGGGTCGCCCACTGACTCGCCGATAGACGACTTCGTCGCTGGTCGGGACAGTATGTGGGTCTGTCTCCTTTGATCACATCAACACTGCAGGAGTCCTTTTCATGGCTCTAGGGGGCGTTTTCCAGTTTTAATTCCTTTTAATAAAAAATCAAAAACTCTACCACGTTAAACCTGCTAGCTGGCCGAATCTGCCAACAGTCTCAGAGCAGTTGTACCACTTGTAGAAGTCGTCCCTTTGTGGGGTGCAATGTTTTGTTATATGGCGCACCCAATATTCACAGTTATGACTTAAATGTAGGTAGGTTGCTGTACCCCACACAAGCGACAAACACCCGGTGATACAAGTGCTACCGTGCGGATGAGGACCACCCGTGGAGAGGCCCCAGTCGTTGGGGCCACATCCATTGCCAAGCCATACGGCTATGCCCCGACTATATCCAGGGCCCCCCAGCAGAAGCAGGGGTGGGGGCTTCAAATAACAAAAATTTGCTTCCCACATGGGAACGGCTTTCATAAGTTAGTTAGTTAGTTAGTTGGGTTATCATCATTGCACTCCAGACATGTCCATAGGTGCTCAGATCCTCCCCTCAGTATGAATCCCAACGTCCGATGGCTAATAGTACCAGTTCTATGTTGATTAACAAGTCTTCTGACGTGTCCGGTGTGCGTCTCGTTTTTTGCTGTGCCGATCTTAATTCCCAAGTCTGCCATTCTGGCGAGTGATGTGTGGATTCACTGCCACCAAAGTCCTCTATCCTTCCCATTTCTCTGAGGGCATTGATAATATCAGCATGATCCATAGGCCGACCATCGGTAGTGATAGCGGATCCAGCCAACCTGTCAGCTCTTTCATTTCCATCGACGCCTGCGTGTCCCGGAACAAAAATAAAGGTGACTCCTCGCACAGTGGACTTCTGAATTGATTCAAGCCATTGTCTTCGCACTGAACCTGCCTGAACCCTCCGGATCATACTCATTGAATCACTGAGTATACATATGCGGGTGTATTTTTGTGTTTCAAGCCAGGCAAACGCTTGCGTCACTGCCATCACCTCCTTCGTCATGCTGCTGGTTGTCATGGAGAAGGCGCCGTTGGCTTCTTTGACTGTTCTGCCCGCTGAGCGTGCTGTAAATGCCCATGCGCTTCTTCTTTGGCGTATAACTGATCCGTCTGTATAGATTAGTGCATCTGCTTCGTCTGAATTTTCACCGATGAGAGCGTTGACCTCTGCATTAACAGCAACAGGATTATCTTCTCTACATCGCCTGTTGAGTGTGACAATACAGGAAAATGTACAAATAAACGCCTGAGGCACAGGTATCCATTCTGCACCAGGTATGATGTCGGTTAGGCTGCATATTTGCCTAATAACATCTTCTGCCCTACCTAGCCACGATTTTCCCCTCTTCAGTTTGTCGCCCTTTTCACTAAAAAGCGCTTGATGCAGTGGGTGTTTCTTATCAGCACATATTTTGAGGTATGCCCGAGCCCTCCACATCCCGATCCTTTGGTTCATTGTTGGAAAGTCAAGTAGATACCTCATTGCTCCACAAGATGTGTCTCTTGTACATCCCAAAATAATACGCATGGCTTCATTTTGCACCTTCTCGAGTCGTTCAATCTGGGTAGCACTGACAGTGAGGATGGCCAGAGCGTATTCAATGGGGGAAAGGACCAGACCATAGAATAGAAGCACCAGCAGTCTTTGCTCGATATTGGAAGCAGCCATAATCCTCATTGCAGATAGACCTTTGCGTGCTTTTGTTATCGCATGGTCAACATGTTCCCTGAATGACAAGCTGCGATCGAACCTCACCCCGAGAAACGTCATAACGTTGGTTCTGATCAATACATTATCACGCATTTTCACTTCTGGTAAGTCCGACTTGACAATGTGATTGTTCAAAGAGAACCATGACACTGATGCCTTCGAGGGATTGACATAGGCATTGGAACCATCACACCAGGCGGCAATTCGATCGAGTTCTTTGTGCATTGTGCTGGCGATCTCCTGTCTATCACGCCCTCGTCGATAAATCAAAATGTCATCAGCAAATGACAAAGTCCTTCCCTTTCCGTTCAACTGCTGCTCAGTGATCATCACCGTATAAACATTGAATAAGACTGATGATAGCGGTGATCCCTTTGGCAAGCCTGGACATATCGTTTGCGGTTCTGAGGACCAGCTACCACATCTTAGTACAATCTTTCTCTGGAACAGGACCGCAGCAATCCAGCGGATCAGAATAGGATTGACTTCTAGTTTAAGCAGTAATTGCATTAAATAATCATATGGTACTTTATTGTAGGCATCTTCTAAGTCCAACACTGCCGCACATGTCTCTTCTTTAATCTGAAATCCCTCGTACACATCGTAGGCGAAAACAGCAGCGGCTTTCATAAGTGTTATTTATGACCTAAAACTCTCCCTTGTGGGATGCTGGTTGGTTGCTCGTGACGATTTTTTTTATTTAGCAAAGTAGCTATCTGTATACATACGTCCTAGTATGGAATGCAATGTTTCTCATTTTAAAGCCCTGGCTGTCGTCATAGGCACTAATAGAATCTTACGGTTGAACCCGGTTTCTGAGACTTGCACCTGAGGGGTTCTCATCAGAATGGTGGCCCTTTGTGTCACCAGGTGGTAATCGCGTGTTGTACAGTCCTGCTAAAGTTGATCGTCAGTCACTCACACACGATTTCCTAATAGGGAGAAACGGCTAAATAGCTTTTGCATGCGTTGCCCAAGAAGGTGCTTGGTATTAAGTGGCTAGACAAGATCACAGACACTGAGATGTTGTAAAGAGCAGGTATTGCAACAGTTTGCGAAGGCTCAGGTGACTGGGTCACACCTGGGGAATAGAGGATGGTAGAGCCCCTAAGGACATCCTCTATGATGAATTACAGATAGGCAGAAGCTGTCGAGGCTGGCCTCTACTACGATATCAAGATGGGTGCAAGCGGGACATGAATGATACAGGTATTGAAGTAGATTGGTGGGAACAAAATGACATCGAGCTTGGCGAGTAAAGGGGCCAAATTAAGCAAGGAATTAGTGTGTAGGAGGAAAAGATTGCAGAAAGGATGGGAGCTGAGCGTCTGAGAAGAAACACAATACACATATGATGGCAACAACGGTCCTGGAATCTCATGCTCTAATTATGAAACACTGTTCTTATCGCGGACGGGTCTTGTTAATCGCCATCGCCATGGGCTGTGAGTCCCATGTCTCCTCATAGCACAGTATAACACTATCGCCTGGAAAGACAGAAAGGTGCCTAAACAGTTTCTTGCCTCAGTGGGAACCTGGCTTTGAGTTAAATGATTCGAGGAGATTTTTTTTAATAGGTGATGAAGGATCAAGAGGAGGGGAGATGCTTACATTCTTTGAAACTTGAATATCGATAGGGTCTGGCTCATAAACGTTTTTAGGAAACTGAAATATCTCGGCCATGTCATGCAAAAAGAGCACAGGCTGCATGCTTACACCACTCATGTAGAAACTATAACCACTTGACGATCTCATAACCACTTCATTCATATCTTCAGCAACCAGCACAAGAGTTCCAAGTTGTATGGTACAAGTAGCAGCCATCTTGTACAAGTTCGTCCTACATTTCCTCTGAGTAATGAGATTTAGCCAGGGCTCAGTAGAGGGAAAGAGGAGAAGAGGCAGACCAAGAAAGTCATGGTTACAGAACCTGATTGACTGGACAGGCCTCAGGCATGCAACCATTAAGTCCATCACAACTGACCGCCAAAGGTGGAGTTGATCAGACAGTCAACAGAAACTGGTGACCCAATGACAGGTTGTGTTACGGGATGGTGATGATGATGAATGAGTGTTAGCCAGATCCCCTTGTCGCTCTCCCCCGCATCATTGGCTTCAGACCGAAATGATCTATTTGTGATTGAGGATACCAAGGACACCCTGTGCTTGAAAGTTCACTAGGCGAGAAGGTTTGCAAGAACCAGTTTGGTTTCCACTGTGTGGCAATGACAGTGATGTTCCAGAAATGGCAATTTTGTTTATAACATTTAACTAAGCAACACTTCAACTTTTAAGAGTCTGATAACATTTTATTGCACATCCACAACAATAAAAATAAAAGAACAACAATGAACAACTGTAATGAATACATGTGGTAATTTTCAATGAATGATAATGCCCATTTTATTGTGTGTTTCTTCGTGCATTTGTTAAATATATCTAAATGATAATGCCACTTTATTTTGTGTTTATTTTCTCTGTACATATTTTAAACATATCTTAGAGACAATGCCCACTTTATTCTATTTTTTTTAGTCCTGTATGTCAATATATATATATATATATATATAAGTGATACTGACCACTTTATCTCATATTTATCTGTATGTACAATTTCAAATATATAACTAAATAAAAAGACTATCTTAAAGAAATGCCTACTTTATGTTTAGTTTACCTGTATGTGCATATGTTAAATATATCTAAACGATAATGTCCACTTTACTGTATGTGGTTTGTGTGTGTGTTTCTGTATATTATATATATAAATTATTCTGACCACTTCATCTCATGTTTATCTGTATGTACATATGTTAAATATGTCTAAATGAACTTGCCCATTTTATACACTTTTTATTTGTTCTGTGCACATGTTAAACATATCTTAAAGATAATTTCCCCTCTATTGCCTGTTTATCTGTATGTGCATATGTTAAATATATCTAAAAGATAATGCCCACTCTATTTTGTGGTAATCTGTATGTAGATGTATTCAGTATACATCTAAGCTATAATACCTACTTTATTATGTGTTTATCTGTACAGAGCAGACCACTTAAGGTGATCTCGGATGAAGCAAATTTTTGCTGTGATAAACAATTTGTTTATCCCCAGCAATTTTTATTGCTTGAAACTTTATCTGGATAAGAAGAATTTCTGATAAGAAGAACCATTTCTGGAGTCCCTGATGAGTTATTCTTATATCTTGATGTATCTAAAATCTATAATGTACAGATTATTTTGTGTTAATTTGTATGTCATATGTTAAATAAATCCAAAAGGTAATGCCCAATATTATATTTTTCTCTGGGCATGTGTTAAAAATATCATGTCCACTTTGAAAATGCCCACTGTTTCTATTGTCTGCCTGTACTTTGCTTAACAAAACAGAATACATTATCTCAGGTTCATAGCCAGCTAAATGCTTAATATAAACAAGTATGTAAAGTAAGTAAGTAAGGTAAAAGTAAAGGACTCTTTTACATTCCTTCAGACATATTATGTATATAGGGCAAGACCTGTATTTTATGAACCAATCGACACACCATGGGGGATGTGGTCAAGGTCAACATTATACCAAAAAGAAAAAAATAATGTACATTTAAAATGTAAGTAACGTAAATAAAAAAAAATGTTAGAAATGTGTTAGAAACCCTAAACTCCAGTGTCAAAAGATCATTAAAAGACTACACTTGGTAATGATCCACAGTCCACTTGCCAGGCCTCTACAGGCTGGATTCAGCCTGCTGAATAGTCCTGGGTGGGTGGCCTGGTTCCCTTACTGGTCACCTTTCCTTCCCAGAAAATCTCCAAAATCTCTGGTATCCACATTAAGGATGCTGAGTAGATTCCAGGACTACTTTGTGCCATCCCCCCCCCCCCCCCCCCCCCCCAAAAAAAAACAGGTCTTAGATCACTGTTTCGGTAGGTAACCACACCATTCGCTATACCATTACATCTTCTTTTTCTTTTTTCTGTGTTCATCTTAAAAGGGCATTAGGCACATATGTTGTGGTTTACAGCTAGACTGCGATATATCTGCATTTCAGCCAAACCTATTGCACTTCACGAACTTCCTGATTAGTTACTTTTACAGCATGCTTGTTAGAGTACAGGGGGCTGCCGTAGTGTGGTGGCTAGATGCTCACCTGCGGATCAGATGGTCATGGGTTTGAGTCCTGGCAGAGCATACAATTATTTAAAAATTTTCTTAGCTCCCAGGTAGACCAAGCCTTGAATGGGTACCAGGTACAGCCCTGGGATGTAAAAGCGGCTGGTGTGATGCTAACCTCTTCACCCATCAAGTGCCTATTGGTCTATAAAATATAGATCTAGCCTAATATGCCCAATAAACCTCAAGGCTCAGAAAAGAGGACTTTTTTGTCAGAGGACAGTGGGGTCTATTCTTTTTCCCTTAAAACTGGGCTCCAGAACCACAAGGCAAGCTACAGCTTCAATATACATTACAAAACATATTTTAATATATTATATAAAGTAACAAAGTGTTCATTATATAATATCATACTTGAGGCAATTAACAAAGTAAAAATATAAACATTCTGGTATTATTTGCACTATACGTTAAAAAAATATTAAAAAATAAAAATTACTGACTTTCCCATCTTATAAGGATACAAAAAGATACAAGTAACAAGCAGATTATTACATAGTGTGCCTTCATACAAGGACACTGTGCATATATTTACATATAATTACAGTCTGCCGGAAGACAATCCTAGTTGCATGAGGACCCTTTTCATGCCTTCAGAGGTGCTAGGAATATAGTCCTAGTCCTGTATTTTATAGATATATATTGGACCTCAGTAGGTAATGCCATCAACATCGTGCCAACTGACTTTACTTCCCAGGACTTTCTTTTGTACCCATTTAGGGCTGGGTTGGCCTGGTCATTTGTAAAAATAACAATAAAAATATTTTTTTTTTTAATCAGGCTTCCATTGAATTTGAACACACAACCTTTAGACCTGCAGGTGAGGGTCCAACCGCTACACCATGGTGGCTGCCCAGCTGCATAAGGAGTGTATTTTGGTTGTTGTTAAAAGCAGTTATATCTTCCTTGCCAGTCACATGAGAATCCATATTATAAATGTGCACAGTTAAGTAAATTATTGCTCATATTGCTTTAATAATATTTTTTTAAGTGAAGACCCTAAAAATACCATGCCTAGGCCACTAAGTTTATATAAATGAAAAAACTTTTATGTTTTCAGATCATAGTTTGCTAGAATCTAGTTTTATTCTTTATGTGTCCATTATCCCTAATGGAGTACAGATCCTCAGTCAACTTGCAGCAAGTCCCTAAATCTTATTCACATCAGCTCGTTTCTTTGCTCATGTTTTGGTTCTCCTTTTATTTCTTTAAAAACATTTAAAATGTTAATCGTGTAATGATTTATTTCATGTATTGGATGCAGGGTATTTTTTTCCTGCACTAAAAGGTGCCGGCTGTCACCTCAGAGTGTCATAAAAAAAGTGCCAACAATCACTTCAAAGTGTCTATTACAGTACTGCTGAAAAAATTATGCACAAAACAAGGTATCAGTACTATGTACTATTGGGTACCACCAGAAAAAAAAAGCCTGATTAGATGTATCATTTACATTATATTAATTCAATTTTTAGTTCACCAGTGCAGAAGTAATTCCTTAGTTACTACTCATGATGTAAAAAAAAAAAAAATGATTTACCAACACAGTACCAAGTATGCTGATCTGATATAAAGAGTACAAAATTCAAAATATAAAATGAACTGGAGGGGTAGTTGGGAGGGGAATGTCTCAATGACTTATGATTGCTGGCAATCGGCAGATCTGAGTCCTTTTATGTACTTTGAACAAACAAACATTAGTACTTGGATAATATACAAGTCAACCTTATAAAAAGCAATATAACAAAAGCTTGTGAATATGTCACACCACTTCCACTGCTGTGAGGTTCATTCTCCTTTGGTGACCTTTGACATCTAGACCTCTTTGTGGGGTCAGGAGTAGTAGAACACTCATCACAGTCATCACTATCATTTTCATGTTCTTTCCTGTGGTTCTTCACCCAGTCTCTGACTTGAGAGGTGAGAACACTCAGTGGTACAGCTCCATTTCTTAGTACAACCATATGGAAGTCTCGTACATCAAAGAACTGACCTGTTAATGTAAACAAACTTCTATAAATAGGACTGTCCAAATTAAAAAAAAAAATTAATGATATGCAAAAACATGAATGACATTAAGCAAGAAATCAATTAAGCAAAAATTGAATGTTGTACGCAAAAACTGAATGTCATATGCAAGCATTTAATGCATGCAACAGCAAAATTAAAACCATAAACAATTTTTTTTTTAAATACCACAACCAAATAATAAATAATATGAGCCAAAAATTAATGCCATAAAGCAACAATGAATTTCATAAACCCACAATGAATGCCATAAGTCAAAAAATTAATACCATATTAATCAATTAACTAATCAATTAGTTGATATATAAAATAAAGGCTGGCTTTAAGAGATAACAAGTATACTCTGTCTCTCATGCTTGTTGTGCACTCAGAATGCTCTTCAAACATCTGTTCATGTTATCATCCCACCTATGTTGTTGTCTATCTCTTGTTCTCTTGCCTTCAACTTTTCCATCAAGTATGGTTTGGTAACAGTGCTGTGTCTTTTATCAAAGTCTAAAAACTTCACTTATCTCTTGTTTACTTCTTTCAAATGCTTTTTTTTTGTTTTGTTCAATGGCTATAAACTCTGGCAGAAAGTTCTGGTTGTTCCTTCCCTTCTGAACTTTAGTCTTGTTCCAGAATTTGAGTATTGCATATATATCCAGTTTACAGATCTGGCTTATTTGTATGCAGACTGTTGACACAGGAACGGAGCAAGTATTGAGGTTTACCCAACTGCAGTGAAACTGAAACCTTGACTAAGACTAAGACAAGCAGATGCATTCCGACATCAAAGGAAAAACCTTTATTAGCAGTTTTTTTTATGACATGCTTGTGGGAGGAGGGGGGTTTGTAGGGGGGGAGGTGCAGTGAATCTATTGTTCGCCTTCCCCCATTAATCTTCCAGAACCCACACAGGGGTTTAGCAACGTTTCATTCCTAATCTTTTTGACAATAATGCCATGCCACAAGCAAATAAAAATGAATGCTAGAGGTGCACTCACACAAACACGCTCACACACACACACACACACACACACACACACACACACACACACACACATATATATATATATATATATATATATATATATATATATATATATATACACACACACACACACAACACAAAAGCAACAGTAAAGAACTATACCCTTTTTCATTTTTTTTGCAGCAAACTGGGTTACGATAAACAAAGTAAAGTAGGAAAGAACTGGTTTCCATGCCATAAAGTTTATTAAAGGTTTACGGTAGATATTGCCTTTTAGTCTCATTTGATTTTATCAGCAGGTGATCTGGTTAACCACAACCCTATACACCTTTACTGGCACCTTTCTGTCTTTCCAGCAGATGATAGTGCTCCAGTGTAACCAAGAATGAAAACAACTAACCCCCCCCCCCCCCCCCCAGCCGCCTTTTACAACATAGGACAATCCAAATCAGCACAAAGAAACATCTCATGCAAAGTAAATTAATTCCAACCCTATGCTGTCAGTGTCAGATGTGGTCTCCCAACAACAAATCAGAACAGAAAATTAGTAACTACGGAAATGAGATGTCTGAGAAGGGCTGCAGGAGTGGCCAGAAGAGATAAAATCAGGAATGAAATCACAAAAGAAAAAAGTCAGCCCAGAATCAATTATAAATTACATACAAAATCATCAAATCAAATTGTGGAGAGAATGCCATATGATGTCGTACCATACAATATATACACCAAAGGACAGACAGACCAAGAACAAGATGGAAAGATAACATCAGAGAAACAACAGCACTATGTGTCTATGATTGAGGTGGCTGGAAGAGCAAGAAGCAGAACCTTATATCTCCATCAACAGAAGAGGAAGCAAAAAAATAACAAGAAGTGCTCCACTGTGCTAAAGAAAAGCCTAGGAATTACATCCTACGGCAGGGGTCAGTATGATTAGCAAAACCTGATTCTTCCACAATAAATGCATGAGATTTCAGGACCATTTTATTAACATGTTACTTCTCTTAAACTGTCTGTACTCCTTTTCTCCTTTGAATTATGACTGGACGACAGACATCATAACAGTCAAGACATTCCCATAAGCACTCAGTCCCCATCTTCAGCAACTAATACAGAGCTCCCATTCCAATGGTACTAGTAATAGTTTTATTGTATGTCCACCTTGCACCCTTCCCTGAGTTTCTGAGCATTGCCCAGATACCCTCATCACTAATCACTGCCTCATTATTTTCAGACCTTGATGATCTATGTGTGATTCTATGTCCTTTCTACATCTAGCTTGTTGTGCTCTGGTTAACCACCAAGCTGTGCACAGTCAGCCAATCTATCTGCCAATACACTGACATACCCTGGAGAAGACATTCTAAGGATGTTAACTACCTACCTACCTACGAAGTAATGTTTGTCCTTCTATGCGGAGAATACCTGTCTCCAGCTTTTTCTCTGTGAGTCAGTTACAGTCATGAAATGTGTGTGCAGCTGATTCTCAAGTCAGCAGCCACTGCTTCCATATCCATTCTCAAATTATATGTTTTCATATCATATGCAAGGCTTCACTGCATTAAGCGACGTCTATTTGCTTTTGCTATGAGTCCCCACACACTTCGTACATCTTTTAACACAGAGCCAGCTTCTCCTTTGTGGCTATTTTTCCCTCTGTGTCATCCAGTTCCTATGAATCTAGCTCAGTACCTGTATCATTCATGTCCCACATCTTCTAAAAACTAGTAGAGGCCGTCCCCAACATCTTGTGTGGCATTGCTGCTGTTATTGCTAAGTCTTGTTGTTTGTTGCTGTTGTATATTTTCATATGTAGTGTATGATTATGTGCTGTGTATGGTTGTACATTGTGCATGGTTAAGTGTTGTATACTGTTATGTCTTGTGTATTGTAACGCGCTCTGTACGGTTTGTGTTGTGTATTGTTATGTGTTGTGTATTATCAGATGTTGTGTACTGTTATATGTTGTTTATTATCATATGCTGTGTATTGTTAATCGTTGCTAAGGTATTTTTGTTGTATAGTTGAGGCTACTGTTTCAGTTGTTATTAGATCCTCACCCTCCTCTCTCACAACCTCTAATATTATCCTTACCGAGCTCCTTCTCTGCATACTTTCTAAGCTCCCTGATCATCAGCTCTCCAACTTTATAAGCCACAGCATGGCCAGGCCAGGTAATGTATCTGTCAACTTCTAGTTCGATACCTGAAGATAAACAGAAAACTTGAATCTTCTTCTTCATGTTTACCTGCTGCAAACTATGTTGGAAAGGTCTGGTTGTTTCACCACTTCTGGACTTTGGACTTGTTCCAGAACTTGAGTTTTGCATTGACATCTGTTTTACGGATCTGGCTTATTTGTAAACAGACTGTTGGTTCCTTACCTGTCAGGCAGATGCGCTCTGACTTCAAAGGAAACACCCCTAATTGTCAACTTTCACAAGATGCTTGTTGGGGGGGCAGGTGTTTGGGGGGAGGGGTGTTCAATTTTTTTTTCCTGGAAACTCGAAGCGAATGGGGAGGTTTTGGGGTTTTAAACAACAGACCAACATAATGGGACACGGGTGGTAACCCATAAGTGCTCGTTCTTCTTCTAACTCAAGTCTGAGTCCGAAGAAGCTCAGCAAAGTGCACAGGCTTTGTAGCACTGGCGAGCATCCTTAAATACTTTGGGTAGATTTTTAACTCCAAATGTTGCCTGGGCAGCGCCGTTAAGCTACTCCTTTCGATTTCCAACTGCCAAGGGATTTTTTACGTGTGCAACAATGCACCAAATGGGGAAAAAACAGGAATCAATATTTGATTAACAAAATTTTGCACCGTACTAGACTTCACAGAAATCTGACCTTTGACATAGTTGTGTTATCTGTCATAAATAATTTAATTTAAATTTAAATAGAAATGAATGTAATTATTCATATTTGTGTGTGTTTGTGTGTGTGTGTGTGTGTGTGTGTGTGTGTGTGTGTGTGTGTGTGTGTGTGTGTGTGTGCCTGCATGCGAGTGTGCAAGGATGTGTCTGTGAGATTATGGTGAAGAGAGCAAGTTACTGCCTGATGCTCTGAATGTCATGGGGCTTTTATTCCGACTTTGAGGTTTGATGTTGGAGACCACGTGTTGCCAAGTAGCATGATCCCTCTTTTGGGTCTGCCTTGTTAGCTCCATAGTAAAGGTAACACCAGTATGTTTGGAACAAGGGAGGCTGCAGAAGCCGGTGAATCAGAAGAGCAGTACTATTTTTGTTCGCCTGTTGGCGTTTCTTTCCTAGACCACCTGCCAGCGAAGGCTAAGGGGGCTGATCTGCCCAGCTGTAACATCAAGTTTTTAGGTCACATTTCTGCTTCCATGGATAAAGAAGCCATTCACACAGTAATGGATGTCAGGTTTGGTAAACACCACCCAACATTCAGCTTAAACCTTGACGCTCTGAAAGAGTCAGTTTTCCTACTTGTTTGGGTTTTGATGATGTGACATCTTTGGGACAGTGGCCACTATTCCTAAATAACCAGCTTTGGTGCTGGTTGCAATCGAACACCAAGAGGCAGGGGAAGACCAAGAAGAAGATGGATTGAAGGAGTCACGGACAACTTGAGACTTCATAACATCACGGCATATGAAGCGACTGAGCGCGCTCTGGCTCAGTTGCCGATCATCTGATAGACTGCGACGCCTAGCGGCACAAGCAGATTTTGACAAAAGAAAGAAAGAAGAAGAAGGTGCTGGTTGCAGCTGCATAGTGTGTAACAGTGATAGATAAGACAATATTTACACACACACAAATTTTATATTTTTAAGATGAAAGAAAATATCTGTTATTGTTGTTACTGTGATGTCGTGGTGATGTCACAATAACCTCATTATGACTTATTTTACTCAAAGTGGCTAGGTCAACAAAAAGGACCCTTTTCCATGCCTTTCAGGTATATTGGGTATATAGGGCTAAACCTGTATTTTCTTTTAGACCAACGGCACAAGATGGACTGCCCTTGGTACCAATTTAAGACTGGGTCGACCTGGGAGCCATAGTCATTTTAAAAAAAAAAAAGTCTGGTTCCGTCCGGGAGCGAACCCATGACCTTTTGATCTGCAGGCGAGCGTCTAGCCGCTACGCAACAGCCAACCAATTAATTTTTTTTTTTTTTAAACCTTTGCAAAAATAATGGCTGAAAATATTTAAAAAATCAATTTTCAGTGACTTGGTGGCTGCAATTTCAAACTGGCCATGTTGCTTGCCTCTCTGCTTGGTGATCATAGGTTTAAACCACATGGATTTTTATAAAAACTGGCCAGGGCTGCACATTTTTTCTACTTCTTTTTCTTATCTTTCTTTAGTTTCTTGGTATAGAGTTATTAAAAAGTTATAACGGTGCATTTTTTTTGTAATCTACCCATTGCCTTTCTCTGCTTAATGCTATTAGGCATCGCATTCATGATTAATGATCAGTTTCTGGGATAGTGCGTGCTCGTTAGCTTGCTGCTCGGTGACACTGTTGAGTTTCAGCAAGTTGTTAACTCCATCTGTCTATGTTTTTTCTTGGACTTCCTCTGCCTCTTGATGTTTCCATTTTCATAAGGTGGCTGTTGGATGTGTCAGTACAAATGGTCCCACACCAATAATTACTGCTCACTGTTGGCGCAAATTCAATTCTTTTTGAGAAAATTTGGAAAAATTCATTCTTTTTCAAATGTTTTTATGAGGTGGGTTAACAGAGAACAGGTAGGAATGACAACTGTTATACAGTAGATAGCTCAGTCATATCTGACCTAGTTGTGTTTGGCTACCTATGCTTTTGTTGTCATAATTATTGCTTCAGTAAGGCATTAGCTATGATCTTTTAGGGCTGAAAGATTTACAAATAATTGTGCAACTCTCTTTGGAATCTATTCACTCAGTACAGCGAAACAAATTTAACCTGATGAAATTACCAGCATCAGTAGCTGGTTCTATCAATCTATTAAATACCATCTTCAGCAATAATTAAGACAAGAAAAGCATAGGCAGCTAAAAAGGTATAGGTGAAATATGACTGAGCTTTTACTGTATAACAGTAGTTATTACTACCTGTTCTCTGTTAACCCTTTCACCTCACAAGAATAGCCAGCAAAATAAAAATTATCTTTTCCAAATTTCATTATAAGAAATGCATACATACGCACAATTCTATATTCATAATTAATATTGAGAATTTACAATTATTAAAATGAAACATTTGTGACAGCTGAAAAGATGTATGGCCAAAAAGACGAGGGATGCTGAGAGAAGATTTTTACATAGCATGCATTTATATATATATATATATATATAACTGATGCATGATGTTATAAATAGCAGGATGTGAAAAACCATGACTACCAATGCCAGTCAAACAAAATACTTTGTGATGATGCTGATGACTGTTGACACGAAAACAGCGATGACCACCTATGACAGGTTACACAGTGCAAATTTATGATAACAAAAATGACAGTGGTAATATAAAGTAGTCGAAAAAAATTACCATCAAGACTCTCCGATGTGTGGTCCAGGAAGTAATTTATTGCTTTCTCTCTTGTCCAGCTGAAAAAATTTAATTCCTATTTTTATGTATGTATACACACACATACACACACACACACATACACACACACACACATGCACAGACACACACACACACACACACACACAAAACTGGAGGATAACATCAAGAGATGAACAACAGCAGTCTTGAAGTGACAACCAGATAAAAAGATAGAAAGTGTTAGTGATGCACTGCAGCCAATCTTCTATGTGGGAATAGCTCTTGATACATTAGTTCCATTTATAATCAGGAAAACTGGAAGATGCTGACAACGATTGGAGATATCAGACAGTTTAGCATCAGAGAACAAAGCGACTTACTTGTGTCAGAAATGACTGGCAGTCATGAGACAGAAGGATTTTGATAAGCATGATAGCATAAACAGAAGAAGATTTAATAACTCAAATGTTAGCTAGCTAGTTCCTCAACCAAATATTCTCAACATCGGACAAGTACATAATCACTCAGATCCCGTCTTCAGTATATCCTTCAGTGTGGAGACTGATAACACCAGGTTTCTGTTGGTTTACTATTTTTTTTTTGGCCATCTGTATAGCGTTCATGTTTGGCAATACTAGTTTTGACCGTCAGTTTTTGTAGTCTTTTAAATGTTGCAGATTCACTGTCTCCTGAATCATCTACTCATCCTGCACATTAAGAACCTTGGTTCAGTCCATTGTTGTCCTGTACCTGCTGTGGCCCTGCTAGCAAGACAATCTGCTCATTTATTCCCTCTGACCTCAGAGTGTTCTGGTACAACAATTTAATTGATTTCTGTTAGATGAGATTTCCTTATAGACTGCAACCATTGCTTTTGAACCCATCCTTTCTAGATTTTCATTAGCATACTCATGGAATCACTCAGGTGTCTGGTAGTCTGGTAGTCTTAGTTTCAGCTTCATAGCAAACGGGTTGCCCGATCTTTGCTCCGCTCCTGTGCCAGCGAAAAACACTCAGAATATCTATCACAGTCCCTTGTGGAAAGATTGACAGACTGCTGTCTCAGCATATCTAGCATACACTCGCATTAAAGCATATGGTAGCCATCCGAAGTGCTAACACAAACAGTCCAACATTAGAAATGCAGTTCATCATTGATGATAGCAGAACTTGTCAACAGATCAGCAGTTGTCCGCGTGATCAATTTTAATACGGGTCCCGCAAGCATTGAACGACAGGCATCGCGCCATGTAATGTGCTCATCTAGGGGCATGTGTTGTTTACATTGCTTTCAGATGAACAGTGAGTTGAAACGACACAGCATGAACGAATATTGAGTTCTTTGCTTTTATTCGTTGAATCGCCAGTTATCGCAAACATACATTCATGCTTCCTCGTGCTCGACTTGCTTGGCTGAATCTAGCGACCTGGACGGACTTCCCACACACTACAGGAATTTATCAGCGTCTCTCGAACCATCCATCTATACTTCATGGACTCTGATATCTGACATTACGACGTATGGAAAAACATTCAGTCCTCCTATTGAAATATAACGTTCACTTCACCAATCATTTATTCTTCTCAGGCGTTCATTCACGCGTCCTCTCTCAGTCAGGGCAGAACTTCAACTGTCTTACTTCAGTCTCTCGGTTCACGTCTTCCGTTCACGTCTCATGCTTTTCTTGTGTCTCTCACTTCGTTTACCATGAGACACACGAGACTCACTTCTCCCGTTTTTCTCTTCTCTCACGGGTCCTCCGACCTTTTTCTCCCCATCGGGAACTCTCTGGGGTTTCCCCGGGAATTCACAACATTACAATCTCCCCCTCCCTTCTAGTAAAAAAAAATTTAACTTTAAAATTTTTTTTTTCTATTACTTTATCTTTAGGTTATAATTTTAAAGGTTTGGGAATACTTTAATGTAATGATGTGGATTACCTAATAATCATTTTGGGTTTTAATGGTTACTTCCCTTTTGATAGGTTTTACATTATTTCCCTTTGTCACATTACCAGTTATAAGTACCAATAAGTACCAAGTGGCTTAATGGGAAACAACCATTCAGGCACTCTCTTCCAAGTGCGGTAGTCCATACACGCCATTTTCTGAATCTACAATTCACACCACGTTGGTCACAGTCGAAAAAAGACATTCCAAATGCAATCCGCAGCTCACAGGGTCACGCCATGCATTCAACTCAGAAGCTGGGCGACGAAACTATATCCAGTCTACAAATGGAGCAAAAATGCATCGGCCACCGTCCGGCAGAAGCAAAACATTTGCCTCTGTTCCGAACGGCGCCGCTGTCTAGCGTCCATTTTAACCGGAAGTGTGGTGTTAAAGGTGTAATTTTAGCATGCATCTCTCTCTCTCTCTCTCTCTCTCTCTCTCTCTCTCTCTCTCTCTCTCTCTATATATATATATATATATATATATATATAATATATATATAATATATATATATTATATATATATATATATATATCAACCCCTCCCCGTGTTTTCTCTAAATCATGCACACATAAATATGCTTAGAGATCTGTATACATGGTATATCTATAGATATTCACAGGGAGACAGACATGGTTTGCAAAAAGAGTTTGTCACTTACCTAAAATAATGGAGACCCGTGTCAACAACCAGCCTGGCTGCCCTGAAGATCTCGGACTCATAGTATCCCATTCTGTGAACAGCACATGTGGATTCTATTTACATAGATTACATTATAAATAACAGACAGATGATTCTCTTTACACTGTATATAGCACACACTTGATCTGTTATCCCTTCACTGATTATATAGTAACCTGCACATACATGATTCTGTTTACAAATGATTACACATTGAAAGTCATACAAATGACTCTTTACTTGATTAATTTGTACACAAATCATAAATGATTCTTTTCACGTTGATTGTTTGGTAAATTATCAAAAAAATTATTCTATTTACATTAATTATATTTTTTTATAACAAGAGCTGGCATCACAGACTGGTTCCCAGTAACACCAGGAGTAAGACAAGGTTGTGTATTATCACCTTTACTTTTCATAATATTTATGGACAATATTAATAAAATAGACATAACACCAACAGATGTCGATAAACAGGAGGACTTCAATGAGCTGCTCTTTGCCGACGATCAATGCATATTTCACAGTGATAGTAAACAGCTGCAAGACCACATAAACCTACTACAGGACAGTTGCCTCAAGCATCATATGAAGATCAATACTGAAAAGACAGAAGTCATGAGCATAAGCAGAGAGCAACAGACCACCGACATAAAGATTCTAGATCACAGCCTAAAACAAGTTCAAGAATTTAAATACTTGGGAAGTATCTTTACATTCAATGGTAAAATAGACAGAGAGATCGAACCAAGAATCTAACAAGCCAACAATGTCGCATACCAGCTTGCCCCAATTTTAAAACACCCTGCTGTCCCAGCTGAGATAAAAAGACAAATTATAAATACAATCTTTATACCGACATTAGGTTATCAATATCAGACTTGGACATTAACAAAAGAACACGAGAGAAGACTAACCACCTGTGAAATGAGATGTTTGAGAATGGCTGCGATTAAAACCAGAAGAGATCGAGTGAGAAACGATGTGATTACAAGAACTATTGGAACCATACCCATCGTTAAATTTATTGAGAAGCAAAGAATGAAATGGTTTGGTCACCTAATGAGAATGGAACCAACGATGCCAGCATCAAGAGCATACAACATGAAAATCGAAACACCAAGAGGCAGGGGAAGACCAAGAAGAAGATGGATTGAAGGAGTCACGGACAACTTGAGACTTCATAACATCACGGCATATGAAGCGACTGAGCGCGCCCTGGCTCGGTTGCCGATCATCTGATAGACTGCGACGCCTAGCGGCACAAGCAGATTTTGACAAAAGAAAAGAAGATATCTTTTTTATGAATTAAATAGCACATAATGATTCTCTTCACATTTTATAACATTGTAAAAAAAAAAAAAGCCCATAAAAGATTGTTTATATTAATTAAACAGTAAACAGCACACACTTTAATTGCTCTTTAATGACACCATTGTTAACAGTTAGTTAGTTGTGTATCCTTTAGAGGACGTTGCAAAACCAACCCCAGCAATTTTTTGGCTGTTGTGGTTTTTATAGGCAAATTTTACGGTAAGTAGATTGCCATTACTTTCTGAGCGATCAGCTCTCAGTACCACTATCGAAACAAACGCAAGACAGATTCTCTCCCTCTCTCTCCTCTCTCTCTCTCTCTCTCTCTCTCTCTCTCTCTCTCTCTCTCTCTCTCTCTCTCTCTCTCTTTAAGTTACTAACATTTATTGTTATGTTCAGAACCTCGTCTCTAACAATTCTATTATTTAATTAAAATCACACTACCGCCGCCTTATCTAGATTGATGGCATAACCTGTTTCCTCACACCACTTCCCTGCCTTGTCTACTACGGTTTGCAGTTATCTAGACATTTCCATTCTATGTCTCCCCTGTAGATTAAAACATTGTCACTAAAGTTTAAATTATCTCTACACCCACTGTCTCTATTGCCACTACCCTGCTTGTGTTTTACTGATTAAGAGCTGTAATAAAATAAATATTATTTACGAAACATCTTCCAAGCTCATTTGGATGTATTTTGGACATGAGAAGCTGCTGTAGGCTAGCTAATAGTTACTAGCTGAACCAATATATTTTTCTAAAACATAACCTTAAGCAGTGACCAGATTTTATTTTTCTGATCAATATATTCTTGGGTCAAAACCAGTCACTCAAACTAGGTCCTTAGTGAATTATCTGTGTGCACTGAACAGTTATTCTTTAAAAGGTTAATTGTGTTGACTCTTATACAGCTAAAAAAGAGCAACCCAGATGTTTTAAAAGAGGTGAGGCTTCGCAGACAACTTATAACGAACATCAGAAAGAGAGAGTCATCCTCTTTTGTTCGTGTTATGAGAAGGAGGAAGCTGGAACGTTATGACTTATAGAAACATTTGTGGTCAAAGAGACAGAGAAAGAGTGTACTGTGAGAAGATTCTTGACAACCTTTTGTCGTGACATTCAGGGGTGTTAGCTCACAAACAAATACATGCTGTTGAGGATTGCAGATTGTGGACAGCCATAATTGCCCACGCCTGTCAGAGAGTAACTTGATGATTATGATGGATCCTTTACAGGACTTCTCAAACCAACCTCTGCATTTGTTAGCTACAATGTGGGTTTTCTAGACAATTTATTTTCAGAGTTTACTAAATGTTAGGACACTACCTAATCGTCTGCTGTTGACTTTGAACCACAGTGTTTTAGGATTGTGAAACTGTGATCACAACCCCCATGTCACAGACGCTGACTATGTCCTATATATATAAATGAAATCAAATTTAATAGAGATTTTCAGAACTTACAGTTCATAATCAGTTTCATAAAGATTGTTTTCAACTCCCAGTGATTCTGCATACAGAGCCCAACCCTGTCACAAGAGAGAAACATATTATCTTATTTATATTTATTAACTTATTTAAAATATATGATAAATGGTTCAGATAAAAGATATGCAAAAGAAAGAAAAAGTTTAGATTTTGAAAATCTATAAGTTCTTTCTCGGGAGCAAAAATATCTAAAAACCTGCCCAGTCCATGACAACAGCACTAGCCATGCGGTCCAATTTCCTCAGGTTAATGACTCCCTGTTTACACCGCCCCAAAAACGTTACACATATAGACAGTGGTGACAGTATATAAAGATCTTTTCTGGAAAGACAATTTGTTGTCACTGTTTTAGAATCTTGGTAATATCAATCTTGCTTAAAATTCACTGGAATTTGTTTAGTTCTCTCCACAAGCTCAACATTAATGATTCTATAATACCATTTAATTCCCTATATTTATCTGGGATGTTAACCTAGTCAACAAATGCTCGATGAAGTCAGATATAATGGTCTTGAGGGGCAAATATTGCAAGCCTGCTGTAAACAGGCACAACGCATTTACGTCACTATGATAAATGAAAAGATGAAGAAGATTCACTCTTTTAACTGAAAATTCTGTTCATTTTTCATGGTTTATAACAGGATCATTTTGTTAAACACTGGGCTTAGCCATAAGTTCCCTGATCTTCTATACTAGTGTTTCCCAACATCGAACCCGTGCCCTACAAGGGGGAACAATTTGATTGTTAAGGTGGGGTAATTTGATTGTTGGAAAGAGGTGGGGGGGGGAGGGGGTGGCAATTTGATTGTTGGGGTGGGGGCAATTTGAAAATGGACTCGTCCAGAGTTAAAGTTACATAGGGAACATACACATTTTAGACGGACTTAGGTAGGGCATGGCACACAAAAAAGGTTGGGAAACCTGTTGTTTACTGGCTGATAGAGCAATGTGAGCTTTTGCTTCATGCTACCTTCAGTTTGATTTTACGGGAATCAAATCATCGTCTATTTTGTGAGATGTTAACACAGCACAGACATTATTTAGAAGAAACTCAGCACAGTGCACTGACTCTGTGAGGTTCCTAGACAGAACCCACCCACCCAAACACAGACACACACACACCGACAGAGAGAGAGAGAGAGAGAGAGAGAGAGAGAGAGAGTGTGTTAATCACATCATGCCATTAATGAGGAATGCAGAGAAACGTCTACTAGCAAACAAACACTGTATTCTGAGACAGAATGTTCAATCATAGTCAAAACATACCTTACCCACCAAGAACGTAGTTTCTAATTGCATGCTTACCTCCACAAAGGCTGTATAAGTTGGGATAGCAAAGGGCACCCTGAACTTTTCACTGTGCTCCTTATTTTTTCGAAATTCAGGCACAGCTGCGGTCAGTTCATAACTGATCTGTGAAAGATAGGACAATAAATTAGTAAGACATCGGTTCCTGGTATATATATATATATATATATATATATATATATATATATATATATATATATATATATATATATTTTTTTTTTTTTTTTTTTTTTTTTTTTTTTAATTAATTAAGAGCTACATACTGGTGTTTGTAAATGTATCCTCTTTTTCTTATGCCCTCTATATTCACCATTAGAACAAAAGCCCTCAGCAAATCAATGATAAGCTGTTCCATTTGTTGCCAAATCAAGGGTAAGCTGTTCTATTTTTTGTCAACTCCTGCAGCTCTTTACATGTACTCCCCATTAATTTAACTTCATTCTCTACTTCCTTTCTTTTCTGTAATAGAAGCTGCAAACAAAAACATTAAAAGTGTAATAGAAATTACAATAACCATGCCATTATCTTGTTACCTGACAGTATTGTTGTTAAGGATGTCAGGAGTGTTAATAATATGACATCATGGGGCAGACAAACACGGTGATGTCATAATTAAAGTTTAAAGATGGCTGCCACACTTTTGACATACACCAAAGAAGATCAAATTTCTGTTATTTATTTTGTTATTTAATCAGTTAAAGGATGAAACCTAAAGAAATTAAGTAAGGTGATGCATGCCAGTCAATTTTGCAAGCATATGAATAGGGTATACATTTTTAAACTGACGTCAATCAGAGACAGTTATCATTCCTTGCTGGACCATTACTTCCAGATCATAATGATCTATTTGTGCTTTCACACTTGCTCCCAAAGGGCTGATGTCATTTTGCATGTCCTGCATTTTCCACCAAGTTTTGCAGAACTAGTCATACCTGAATACTCTGTAGAAAATATGCAAAGGATACTAACTACCATGATCTATAATGCGATCCTGTTTTACTCTGCACAAAGCATGACTCTCTCCACCTTTCTCTGTTTTAGTCATGACATTATGTGCTGCTGGTTTTCAGAGCTGCAGTAGTTGTCTTTGCCTTCATTCTCAAACTAGCGGCTGTGGTATCATAAGCTAGATTTGCTTACATTAAGGGTCATCCATTTGTCTGTTTTTTCTATGAGACCCCCATGCACTTCTTCTACCTTTCAACACAGAGCCATCTGTATAGATAATCATATCACCTGTGTTTAAACTGTCATAAATCAATTACTGAATTGCTGATTCTGCAGTGCCCCCTGGCCAGTCCTGACCAATGTATTCTGAAGGCTAAACAAATTTTTATTGTTTCTTGAACACTTTGACACAATCCTCTACTGTTTTTTTTTTTTTAAAGATTTTAATGGGGTCAAATATCCATACAGTCAGTTTTAACATATGGCTGTGAATCCTGGACAATCGGTAGGCAGGCCAAACAATTTCTTGAGAATGCTCAGAATACCTTGGACAGCCAAAATGAGCAGAGGTTTTGAAAAAGGCAGAAGCCTGAACACAACTTATCACAGACATCAGAAGGAGACAGTCATCATTTGATGTTATGAGAAGGGTGAAAATAGAACATGTTGTGACCACTGGAATGCAGAAGGAGGGATAGAGGAAGACAACGAGAGAAGATTCTTCACAGTCTTGTTGCATGGCATGGAGGTGTGTCAGCACACCAACTGATACATGCTGCAGGCGATCACAGATTGTGGAGAGGCATGATCGCCATGTGTACCACATCACCATCCAGGGCAGATTGGTTTAGATACAAAGTTTTTTAAGCATTCATATGGGTTGCCCACTTAGAGAGGATGCCTTTTTATGCCATACAATATAAGGCATTCACCAAAAATGGAGATGGACGAAGAGCTCAATGTAGATCAACAAGATGGAAAGATAATATCAGAGAAACTCTACAAAAGTATGATGCATCTATGGTCGAGGTGACCAGAAGAGCAAGAACCTTATATCTCTGTTAACACCGGAGAAAAAACTTTAAAAAAAGAAGAAGAAGAAAATACAAATGCCCGATGCACCACTGATGTAAAAACGGTTCTTTACTAATTACCCTTTTTTTTATATTTTTTTTTTAAAATCAAATACTTTACAAATTGTTAACTTCTAGTGCTTTTCTTTCTGTCTCTTAATTTTTCTGTCCTACACCTGTGAATCTGCATTCTTTATTCGTCAACCACTGGTATTATCCTTATCATCATCATTTAGTGTCTATCATCTAATCATCTATCCTCAATTTCAGTGCTTACCTGCAGGTGATGGCCTGGGTTGGCTTCATGCATTGTCAAAGACACCATTATGTACTTTGGACTGAAAAAGTATGCCATATTGAATTTCATAACAGCCTCATTAGTCATTTATAAATTAACAACTCTAAATACATTTTTCACCAGCCTTTCCAGTCTATATTTTTGTATTATTAAAGTCATAACTGTGTACTCAGAGCAGAAAAGAATGCCACATAATCCGTTCCATAAAAGCCTCATCAAGCAAATACATCAACACATGATGGCTCAGTGGCAAAGTGGTCAGGCCGTTTGCCTAGCGCTCTGAAGGTCGTTGGTTCATTTCACGGCATTTAGTTCGCGAGTACAATTTTTTGGAGATCCCTGGGGATCATCGCTAGATGATGGATGTCATGTCATGCTCTGTGTGATGACCTCCGCAGGCAGCTAGCTGTTCTGCGGAGAGAGACTTAGCCATATGGGAACAAACCCGGTGCAGTGAAGTCAATCCTCTGACCTTTACCTTTAACACATCACTTAACTCTTTACTTGCCTTCCTCAGTAACATCGCTCTGTATTGTATGAATTAGCTATTTAGAGCATAAAACTAACAAATATTTACGACAGAGAATAAACAAATTTGCAGGACACCAGAAGCCTCTTCTGGCAGTGGTGAAATGTTGCAAGCTAGCTTGGTTCGGACAAGTGGTAAGGCATTATTCGATTGTAAAGATCATACATACTTCAAGGAACATTGGGAAGCAATTGAAAGAGGATAGGGACGGGGAGGGGGGTGGGGGCAAAGAAGAACCTGGAATGACAGCATCAAGTGATGAACAGGACTAAATTACTATACACTTATTTTACAAGCAAAAGACAGAGCAGGGTTTGGGTGCTAGTCTTTTCATCGATCAGATTCAATTATAGTATTCTTGTTAGGAAGCGAAAGACAAAGAAAAAGATGGTGCTTCCATCAATACACCTCCACAACCCTAAAAGGTCAAGGGTTATGTATGTATGGATATCAGCCTGTATTTGTGCACTGTTAACTCTTTTACACCTCGCCAGTGTTGAATTCATCAGTGTTTAAGCGAAAGTTTGTGCATCCTAGAGCAACAATATTTTAGTCTCACATAGTTGACATGCACGGCTTTGGGAGAGAAAGTAATAAAATAACAACCGGAAAAAACAGGTTAATATTAGACAAAAACAGGATTGAAATAAGTAAAGAAATGTGTACCATTTATAGTGAAATAAATCAATATATGGTGAGTTTGCTGGCACTGAAAGAGTTAGGGACACTATTGAATACATTCAAATAAAAAGAATGCCACGTTTTAAGTTTCATAAGAACCTCATTTAGCAACACATTAAATAACAACTATATAGCTCTTTTTGCCAGTAATAACAATGTTGAATTGTGTCTTGTTAAAGACACCATTGTGTGCTTTTGACTGAAAAAGAATAACATATGTTTTAGAATAACTTGATCAAGCACATAATTAAACAAGGCTTTTACATTGTGAAGAGAATTAATCAAGTTTAATAAACCGGCAAAGGCAGCATTATACAATCACGAATGAGTTGAGTTATGATTGGGATTATCTTCACAGCACTCAGGACACGTCCAGAGGTGCTCAGATTCCCCCTTCAACATATACATCAGCATCCTGCGGTTGATGGTCCCAGTCCTGTGTTGGTTGACAAGACTTCTCGTGCATCCGGTGTGCTTCTCGTGCCTGGCTGTGCCGATCTTTACTCCCAATTCTTGCACTCTTAGCAAAGATGTAGATGTGCTGCTACTAAAATCCTCCAAATGTCCTACCTCTCTAATGGCGTTAACAATGTCGGCATGATCCATGGGCCGGCCCTCTGTAACTAAAGCAGAACCGGCTTATCAGATGGCTCTTTTATTGCCAACAACACCCGCATATCCTGGGACAATCATGAATGCCAATAATAATGGATAAAAAGTATTATAGTAATTTTGGACATAAAATATTTTTTAATAAATCATACTGGAGAGAAAAGTCAAAGGCAGGAGAGTAAGAAAGAGGTAGGCAGTGATACGAGGGGCAAAATCAAGAGATGGATAAATGGCGGGCTGGCAGAGAGTAAAACTAATTTGATCGTACAAAAAGCCATTCAAATTACTCACACTTTTCTAAATGTGTTGGCAGAAAACGTACCAGGCCTCATACCGTCTGATGTGCCAGGAAAGTACTGACCTCTTGGACCATCTGAGTGCATTGACTCGACTCTGTGAACACAAAAACAAACAAACAAGGTGACATAGGTGCACCTTTTATTTAAAAATACTGTTGCTACAGTCGTTAGTGCTTGGCACTGCAGCATGTGCTATAGCTGCTATTTATTTGCTGGCCGTGGCTGCAACTTGGCCGAGGACATGTGGAGAATGGTCAGGAATAGTTTTAATCTACTCATCGTCCGGCTACTTATCGAATGAAGTTGATTTTTACGATCACGCCTGGTCTTACAGTATATTTAAGAAGGCATGCACCTTTTGGTTTGCTAGATCAAATCGTGTGTGTTTTGCTGACTGAGGACACTTTCTAGGCTACGGCATTCACTTGAAAAATCCAGCATGTCTGACTCAGTTTGTGACTGGAATCACTGGCATAGCTGGTTGAGCAATTATGGGCTAAATTCGTTTGCTGTGATGCCAGAACCATAACGGCTAACTAACTGCAGCCAGCAGTGTTGAGGCTGGCTAGTTTCTCTTTGGAGAGGTGAAAAGTGAAATTAAGCAGCCTGTCAATGACCAGTAGAGCTCCCAGGTCAAGCTCACCTCTTCATGGTGCATGCTGGAAAACTGAAGCTGTGAGGTTTCAGGCTTAGGGCAATGGCTCGCTTGGGAGAAGACAGGCACCAACCAGGTTAGTTTTTTTCCTGTCCCACCAGGCGACAGGCCTAGCAAGCCGACAGCAGTGTAATCAACAGCTAATACACAAGAGAGGATTAATTATAGAACATGGACAATAAATAGGGCACATGGAAAGGGGTAGGAGAACTCTGCAACACAGTCATCATGGAAATGACCCTTTCCTAATTAGTCAGAAGAAAGTCTTTACATCTCCTTTGCTTTGACTGAAGTAAGCCATTTTCAAGGCTCAAGCTCCTAAATACCATCACATCAGACTTGAGAGTCAAGACTCGTCTTCTTCTGCTGCTGCATTCATCCGTAAACTGATGGTTGAAACATAGTGTTGTGGTTTACAGCTAGGCTGTGGTATCTGCATCTTTCAGCCCAAAAAATCTTATTTCTGCAAACCCCTATTTATTCACCACTTATGACATGCCTGTTAGAGCTACCCACCGCCAACTCTAGATTACGCCATCCAACTAAATCACGTGACTTTTTGGATGAAGTCCCTCGAAAACTGGTTAGTGTAAGCCCTTTCCATGTCTTGCATTGTGACATTTTAATGTGCTTGCAAAGTTCTGTGTTCTGAATGAATTCGTATTACATATCTACAAGTGGATATTCTGAAGTAGATATACAAGATTTTCAAACTTTGCAATTAGATTACAGCAATTTGAATTTAAATTCACGGGAGACGGTCGTGTTGCGATGTGTGTGTCACTGTTTCTAGTCAGTAGTTTGGATTTTTGGGAACTGGCTGTTTATTCTTTTTCTACTTTGAATGTGGAAAACTTACTTTTAGGGAAAATACTTTAAACAGTTAATTTAGAAGCCATATCTGGAGAATATATATATTTCGGAGCTCTAGGTAAGTGGATGAAAATAATATTTAATTTACTAACTAACCTCTCACAGCAAGTCACTCTTTGCCTCTTTACTAATTGTTGACTAACAGTATAATTATATGTTGTAGCAGTACACTAATAATATTAATCCTTAACCATTTGACTTATGCTTCGCGAACACTGGCTGTAAACTCTTGCGGAAACTTCTGGTAGTTCATCGACTTCTTTTGCATATTTGCAGTTCTACAGTCTGTTAATTTTTGTAAACTGGCTTTTGCTTTGCTTCGCGAACACTGGCTGTAAACTCTTGCGAAAACTTCTGGTAGTTCATCGACTTCTTTTGCATGTTTGCAGTTCTACGGTCTGTTAATTTTTGTAAACTGGCTTTTGCTTCGCGAACACTGGCTGTAAACTCTTGCGGAAACTTCTGGTAGTTTATCAACTTCTTTTGCATATTTGCAGTTCTACGGTCTGTTAATTTGTGTAAACAGGCTTTTGCTTTGCAAACACTGGCTGTAAACTCTTGCGGAAACTTCTGGTAGTTCATCGACTTATTTTGCATATTTGCAAAATAACGGTCTGTGTTAATTTTTGTAAACTGGCTTTTGCTTTGCTTCGTGAACACTGGCTGTAAACTCTTGCGGAAACTTCTGGTTGTTCATCCACTTCCTATGCATATTCACCAAAAAATTCGCAATGGTAAGGAATTGATTTCATCCAACAAGATGAAACTGGACAAATTTGTTTTTGCTGTTTGTACCTTGAGGATACATATTTAGTAGTGCTATAAGTACTGTTAAGAAAACTACTCTGGGTGAAAAAAGTATTGCACATATCAATTTCATACTGATTGTGCTTGTTTACTAATTATTAAATAACAGTATAATTATATGTTGTAGTAGTCTACTAATAATAATAATAACCATCAATTATTTTTATTTATGTTATGTATGATATGTGTATCTTTCATAGCAGTATTTGTATGCGCTAAATTTGATAAAGTACAAATGTCACACACACCCCCCCCCTCCCCCGCTCCTCTGATGCAAGAATACCCTCTCAGAATCAAAGAGTTAGCACTGATTTTTCTTTACTTTTGCTGGAACAACTTTTAGTTTTCATCTAAACGTTATTGATATTTATGTTCATGTTGACTGTAGCAAAAGCATTTTTGTTTGTCTGTAAGAGCCTTTATTGTTATATTTATTCGGCACACTTATTTACCTTAAAAATGACGTATAGTTCTATAAAATATGTAGAAAATTAATGAAACTGTAGTTTAATTTGTGTATACATCTCCTCAATAAAAACTGTTAACACAGAGGGACTCAATTCTTGCACAAGAACGGGAATCCCCGTTGACCCAGTTGGCCTTTTTATAGCTAAAGATGGCCGTGAGCTACCCTAAGTGTATTTTTTTCCCCTTACCAAAATGCAGCCACAGAACCCACATGGGGAGATTCAAAATTCAGTCTTCCAAAATCTTCAACAACCAACAAAATAAATCTCAAATATTCAAAATGTGCATTCAAAGACTGAGTGACTTACTTTATAATACTAATTGTTCACAGCTTCTTTATTTATTGTAATACTTACTTTATATTATTAATTTTTCTTTATTTATCAAGTACTACATTTCAATAATTGTCCAAAAAAAAGTTGTAGAAAAGTACTTACTTGATAGGAAGACCTGGTTGATCTTTGAAGAGTTTGTTCAAAATTGGATTGATGCGATTAAAAATGATGTTTTCATACTCAGCCAAGATGTCTTGCTGTGAAACAAATATATTTAAATGATTTAAAGATCATTAAGAATACTAATAATTATGAAAGACAATGAAGACGATATAATACATGCCCATGCGCGAACACTTGCAGATGAATTCTATTTCACATTCATACATTGTTCTTTGTCACAAGCAGACACTGTCTTCTTTTCACAAATAGACACTGTTCCCCTGTATAAACGGAACATTGTTAAATATAATGTAGACATTGTTCTATTTCACAAGAAGACATTTTTTATATTTTTCACAAGTATAAATTATTGCATTTTTCAAGCAGACATTGTTCTTTCTGACAAGTTGACACTGTTCCACTTCACAAGCAGACGTTTTTTTCTTTCTGACAAGTTGACACTGTTCCACTTCACAAGCAGACAGTGTTCTTTCTGACAAGTTGACACTGTTCCACTTCACAAGCAGACAGTGTTCTTTCTGACAAGTTGACACTGTTCCACTTCACAAGCAGACAGTGTTCTTTCTGACAAGTTGACACTGTTCCACTTCACAAGCAGACAGTGTTCTTTCTGACAAGTTGACACTGTTCCACTTCACAAGCAGACAGTGTTCTTTCTGACAAGTTGACACTGTTCCACTTCACAAGCAGACAGTGTTCTTTCTGACAAATTGACACTATTCCACTTCACAAGCAGACATTGTTCTTTCTGACAAGTTGACACTGTTCCACTTCACAAGCAGGCATTGTTCTTTCTGACAAGTTGACACTGTTCCACTTCACAAGCAGACATTGTTCTTTCTGACAAGTTGACACTGTACCACTTCACAAGCAGACATTGTTCTTTCTGACAAGTTGACACTGTTCCACTTCACAAGCTGACATTGTTCTTTCTGACAAGTTGACACTGTTCCACTTCACAAGCTGACATTGTTCTTTCTGACAAGTTGACACTGTTCCACTTCACAAGCTGACATTGTTCTTTCTGACAAGTTGACACTGTTCCACTTCACAAGCTGACATTGTTCTTTCTGACAAGTTGACACTGTTCCACTTCACAAGCAGACATTGTTCTTTCTGACAAGTTGACACTGTACCACTTCACAAGCAGACATTGTTCTTTCTGACAAGTTGACACTGTACCACTTCACAAGCAGACATTGTTCTTTCTGACAAGTTGACACTGTTCCACTTCACAAGCTGACATTGTTCTTTCTGACAAGTTGACACTGTACCACTTCACAAGCAGACATTGTTCTTTCTGACAAGTTGACACTGTTCCACTTCACAAGCAGACATTGTTCTTTCTGACAAGTTGACACTGTTCCACTTCACAAGCTGACATTGTTCTTTCTGACAAGTTGACACTGTACCACTTCACAAGCAGACGTTTTTTCTTTCTGACAAGTTGACACTGTACCACTTCACAAGCAGACATTGTTCTTTCTGACAAGTTGACACTGTTCCACTTCACAAGCAGACATTGTTCTTTCTGACAAGTTGACACTGTTCCACTTCACAAGCAGACATTGTTCTTTCTGACAAGTTGACACTGTTCCACTTCACAATCAGACATTGTTCTTTCTGACAAGTTGACACTGTTCCACTTCACAAGCAGACATTGTTCTTTCTGACAAGTTGACACTGTACCACTTCACAAGCAGACGTTTTTTCTTTCTGACAAGTTGACACTGTACCACTTCACAAGCTGACATTGTTCTTTCTGACAAGTTGACACTGTACCACTTCACAAGCAGACGTTTTTTCTTTCTGACAAGTTGACACTGTTCCACTTCACAAGCAGACGTTTTTTCTTTCTGACAAGTTGACACTGTTCCACTTCACAAGCAGACGTTTTTTCTTTCTGACAAGTTGACACTGTTCCACTTCACAAGCAGACATTGTTCTTTCTGACAAGTTGACACTGTTCCACTTCACAAGCAGACGTTTTTTCTTTCTGACAAGTTGACACTGTTCCACTTCACAAGCAGACGTTTTTTCTTTCTGACAAGTTGACACTGTTCCACTTCACAAGCAGACATTGTTCTTTCTGACAAGTTGACACTGTTCCACTTCACAAGCAGACATTGTTCTTTCTGACAAGTTGACACTGTTCCACTTCACAAGCTGACATTGTTCTTTCTGACAAGTTGACACTGTTCCACTTCACAAGCTGACATTGTTCTTTCTGACAAGTTGACACTGTACCACTTCACAAGCAGACATTGTTCTTTCTGACAAGTTGACACTGTTCCACTTCACAAGCAGACATTGTTCTTTCTGACAAGTTGACACTGTTCCACTTCACAAGCAGACATTGTTCTTTCTGACAAGTTGACACTGTTCCACTTCACAAGCAGACATTGTTCTTTCTGACAAGTTGACACTGTTCCACTTCACAAGCAGACATTGTTCTTTCTGACAAGTTGACACTGTTCCACTTCACAAGCAGACATTGTTCTTTCTGACAAGTTGACACTGTTCCACTTCACAAGCAGACATTGTTCTTTCTGACAAGTTGACACTGTTCCACTTCACAAGCAGACATTGTTCTTTCTGACAAGTTGACACTGTTCCACTTCACAAGCAGACATTGTTCTTTCTGACAAGTTGACACTGTTCCACTTCACAAGCTGACATTGTTCTTTCTGACAAGTTGACACTGTTCCACTTCACAAGCTGACATTGTTCTTTCTGACAAGTTGACACTGTACCACTTCACAAGCAGACATTGTTCTTTCTCTGACAAGTTGACACTGTTCCACTTCACAAGCAGACATTGTTCTTTCTGACAAGTTGACACTGTTCCACTTCACAAGCAGACATTGTTCTTTCTGACAAGTTGACACTGTTCCACTTCACAAGCAGACATTGTTCTTTCTGACAAGTTGACACTGTTCCACTTCACAAGCAGACATTGTTCTTTCTGACAAGTTGACACTGTTCCACTTCACAAGCAGACATTGTTCTTTCTGACAAGTTGACACTGTTCCACTTCACAAGCAGACATTGTTCTTTCTAACAAGTTGACACTGTTCCACTTCACAAGCAGACATTGTTCTTTCTGACAAGTTGACACTGTTCCACTTCACAAGCTGACATTGTTCTTTCTGACAAGTTGACACTGTACCACTTCACAAGCAGACATTGTTCTTTCTGACAAGTTGACACTGTTCCACTTCACAAGCAGACATTGTTCTTTCTGACAAGTTGACACTGTTCCACTTCACAAGCTGACATTGTTCTTTCTGACAAGTTGACACTGTTCCACTTCACAAGCAGACATTGTTCTTTCTGACAAGTTGACACTGTTCCACTTCACAAGCTGACATTGTTCTTTCTGACAAGTTGACACTGTACCACTTCACAAGCAGACGTTTTTTCTTTCTGACAAGTTGACACTGTACCACTTCACAAGCTGACATTGTTCTTTCTGACAAGTTGACACTGTTCCACTTCACAAGCTGACATTGTTCTTTCTGACAAGTTGACACTGTACCACTTCACAAGCAGACATTGTTCTTTCTGACAAGTTGACACTGTTCCACTTCACAAGCAGACATTGTTCTTTCTGACAAGTTGACACTGTTCCACTTCACAAGCAGACATTGTTCTTTCTGACAAGTTGACACTGTTCCACTTCACAAGCAGACATTGTTCTTTCTGACAAGTTGACACTGTTCCACTTCACAAGCAGACATTGTTCTTTCTGACAAGTTGACACTGTTCCACTTCACAAGCAGACATTGTTCTTTCTGACAAGTTGACACTGTTCCACTTCACAAGCAGACATTGTTCTTTCTAACAAGTTGACACTGTTCCACTTCACAAGCAGACATTGTTCTTTCTGACAAGTTGACACTGTACCACTTCACAAGCAGACATTGTTCTTTCTGACAAGTTGACACTGTTCCACTTCACAAGCAGACATTGTTCTTTCTGACAAGTTGACACTGTTCCACTTCACAAGCTGACATTGTTCTTTCTGACAAGTTGACACTGTTCCACTTCACAAGCAGACATTGTTCTTTCTGACAAGTTGACACTGTACCACTTCACAAGCAGACGTTTTTTCTTTCTGACAAGTTGACACTGTTCCACTTCACAAGCAGACATTGTGTTTTTTTTCTATCAAGTTGCCATTGTTTCTATTTCACAATTACAAATTGTTCTATTTCACAAGCAGATATTGTTCTTATTCACAACCAGACATTGTTCTGTTTATTTAACAACAGATACTGTACTTCACAAGCAAGTATTATTCTTTTTCACATGCAGACATTTTTGTAAAATTTTAGTATCAGGTTCATTATTTTACAATCAGACATTTGTTGACTTTGCAAACACATATTTTTATTTACCTGATTCTCTAAAAACATGTCATCTTTTTTCATCAGCTCTGCAAAGTATTCTCTGATGCTGTAGCCCCCATAGCCCTGCTTCTCCCGAATCTGAAAGCCAGTAATAAATGTCATTATCAATCTTTTTCGCAAAATAAATCTGCATCTGTGGCTCTGAAATTATGAATTCAGTTTCATAATTCTATCAACGTAACAGAATGTATTTATGCAATGGAAAATAAAAGCAAGGGTCTTAGTTTGAAATGCAGAAAAACAGAAATAATGGTAATTACAAAGAAAACTGACCCTCCAAAATGCAACATCCAAGTAAGTGGGACAAACCTCAGGCAAGTTGATATGTTTAAGTACTTGGGCACCTTGATAACATCAGATAGACGATGTATTAAAGAAGTTACATGTAGAAGGCAAAGGTAGCAAAAGTGCTTTCATGAAAAAAAAAAGGTGTCTGTTTTATGGTGATCTCTGGATAATAGAATTGTTAGAGCTGATGTCTTAAACTTCATAATTAATTACAGTGAAATTTTAGGATCTGAATGTAATCTGTTCCATGACCCAGTGTGTAAGGTGAATAACTTGTTTTCTGAAACTAGTTTTCCTTCAGTATTAATGTCAATGATTCTAATTTGTTCTAGCCTTTAAAAAAATCAAATTCCAAAATGTGAGGCTTTTCATTTGTTTTTTAGGGAAAATGTGTGGCACTGTTTTATTGGCTTTTATTTTGCCAGCAAAATAAAATGGAGTTACTTCAGAACATCATATTATAGTCCATCATCATTAAGTGCCTTGTTCACTGGTTTAAGTTGAAAGGTAACAATGAAAGTTCTCATCTTTCCAGCTTGCACACTGGATTTTTGCCTCGCATTCTAGGACAACAACAAAAAACTGGCGAGTCTGACCTCGTATCATGAAAACTTGTATCCAAGTTCACTCGTATCCTCAGTTTCCACTTTTTATGAAAAACTAATACTTTCTCTGAATTACAGTTTAAAGGATGAAGAAGACTACTACACTTCCCATTATTCCTTCCCTTTTACTTCCTTTCAATTATACAGAGGGGGCTGCGTGGTCTCAAGGCATGGTGTCCGGCTTAAGTGCTAGACGTTCCGGGTTCAATCCCCGGATTTGTTCACATTGGCTTGGACTTCTAGTAATTTCCCAGGTCTCTGGGTAGTGAGATCGGATGCCTGAGTGCATTGTTGCCAGCGTTAAATAAAAAACATCCCTTGGCAGTTGGAAATCGAAAAGAGTAGCCTAACAGCGCTGCTCAGGCAACATTTAAAGTTAAAAATCTACCTAAATTATTTCAGGATCCTCGCCGGTGCTACAGAGCCGTGCACTGTGTTGAGCTTCTTTAGACTCAGACTTGAGTTAGAAGTAGAATGGAGCACTTATGGGTTACTACCCTTGGGCCATGATGTTGATCCGTTGTTCATAACCTCAGACTTCAGTTATACAGATAAAGGGAATAAATAGAATGTTGCAGCCCTCTCTTCTTCCTTTCAATTCCACATTATACCATAAATGTATAGAACAACACACAGAAATGATTACTTCATGCATTCTCTGTGACAGCCTTTCCACTTCTTTCAGCCCTAGTTCATGTATGTCTTCTGGTGTCATGTTTAAGGACAGGTACCAGTTAACACAAGCCTTGTAGAACTCCTTTCCTCCTTCAAGAGACCCAACACCCCAGAGAGGGCGTGTGTGATTCATATATACCTGTAGATCAGAAGTTTGACAGTGAAATATAATTACGACATCAGATTCGCTAGCAAAATATTCCATAGCTCAATTCTTCTTTTTCACGTTCACCGGCAGTGATCTCCAATGGTCAACCTCTGCACTTTAGTCTTGCTCCAGAACCTGTTTTTTGCATGCATATTCATTTTTCAAATTTGACTTATTTGTATGTTGGACTGTTGTATCCTTGCCTCTAAGTCAGATGCATTCTGACTTAGAAAGATGCCTCTAAATAGTCAACTCTTATGACATGCTTATTTGGGGTGGAAGTGGGTCTATTCTTGTTTTCCTCACAATGGGGCCCCATATGCTACACAGGACATAACACAATGATTGTTTAGACCTCACAGTCATCATTTTCATCAGAATATAGCAATATATGGGCTTGTTCTGAGATAAAGAGGACAAAAATCACAAAACAGGTATTCAAATGGAACAAATTGACTGAGGAAATAGGGACGCTGAAGAGAAAAGCAACAACGAACTTTGCTGAGAGATATGTGACTAGATTCCATACATGATATAGAAGAATTTTGCACATGAAAGTACAGAATGAAGGAACTGGGTGTGGCATATAATGGCTCAAAAGGATGATGATGATAAAATATTCAGAACAAAAAAACTGCTAAACATAATTACTAAGTTTTTCTTCTTCTTTGATCCTCCTGTAAAAATGTAGTTTACAAACAATCATGAGAAGTCCTAATTTAATGGGTAAAGTATATTATTTAATAAATATTTTATATTACTTTAATGAGGAAATTATTTTAATTTATTGAGCAAATTATACCAATTTATTTAATATATTAACAATATAAAATGCAGTAAGTCAGACATTAACAATATATAATACAGTAAGTCAGACATTAAAAAATATAAAATACAGTAAGTCAGACATTAACAATATAAAATACAGTAAGCTGGACATTACCAATATAAAATACAGTAAATCAGACATTAACACTATAAAATACAGTAAAATGGACATTACCAATTTAAAATACAGTAAATCAGACATTAACAATATAAAATACAGTAAATCAGACATTAACAATATAAAATACAGTAAATCAGACATTAACAATACATAATACAGTAAGTCAAACATTAACAATATAAAATACAGTAAGTCAGACATTAACAATATAAAACACAGTAAGTCAGACAACACATGCATTTTCCAAGTATTCTCTGAGTTCCCTGTAAGCCTTGAACACAGCACTGGTAGCATGTTTTCCTCTTCTCCTTATGTCCACTCTATAGAACAAAAGTAAACAGGATGGTTTTAACATTTTCTGCTCCCAACAGAAAAAGAATTCTACTGATCTTGTATGGTTCTATAAATTAAGTATCCGATATTTCTTTGTAAAGTAAAAATAACTGTGAAAAGGAAATAACTTTACCTGAGACCACGATAGAAGTAACAGCTATGCTAATATTTTTGTCTTTCTTCCCCTGTGGGTTCCGGAGCCCCAGTATGGGGAAAACAAGAATAGACCCAATGCCTCCCCAACAAGCATGTCATAAGAGTTAACTAACTGGGGGTGTCCTTCGAAGTCAGAGTGCATCTGCCTGAGATGCAAGAAACCAACAATCTGCATACAAATAAGATTTGTAAAATGGATGTGCACACAACACTCAGGTTCTGGAACCAGACTAAAGTCCAGATGTGGATGAAGAACCAGAACTTTCCACCAAGGTTTACAGCTGGTGAATACTTTTGTCAATTTCACACAGCAATAGTTGAAGAATGGACAGAAAATGTAGATGTAACTTCCAGAAACAAATATAGTGATTTACATCTAATATTGTAAAATATAGCCATATTGTCTACGGTTGAGGTTACCAGAAGTGCAAGAACAAGAACCATGTATCTCACTTTACAACTGAAGCAGTAAAAGAAGTTACAAAGAAATGAATTTAAAATACAAATAAATCTTTCAGATACCATCCTACCTGACTTTACTGGGTATGGTTCCATTCAGAAGATTCAAGTATTCCAAAAATGGACGGAAATAAATGGATTCTTCCTCTGGTGTTGATAGAATCTGGTTTATTTGATTTGGAACTCGGTCCTGAAAATAAATAAACAATTAACACAAAATTTAACTCTAAAGTTTAGCAAAATGAAAGATGAATAGATAAAATATAATTTTTACCAAAGTCTTTATCAAGGAAAAAATGCTTAGGCTCTTTTTTCTTCAAAATAAGATGAAAGGCTTAGCCACTGAAAAAAAAAAACTGTAATGTGGTGACAGAGTGGTCTACTTCATACAGGTGGCTGAGGCTGATGAAATGGAGAGAGACTGGTTCTCTCCTCGTGGATGTAAAACACAGGTCATATTTTCTCCTCATGGATGAAACACAGAGGCCTGATTTAACAGTGTACCCTAGAGTTTAGTTCTCTCCTAATAGATGTAACACAGAGGCCTAATTCAACTGTGTACCCTAGAGTTTAGTTCTCTCCTAATGGATGTAACACAGAGGCCTGATTCAACTGTGTACCCTAGAGTTTAGTTCTATCCTCATGGATGTAACACACAGGCCTGATTCAACTGTGTACCATAGAGTTTAGTGTAGAGTTGGCACTTGGTGGATGCTGTGGCCAACATCATGCCAGCCACCTTTACCTCCCAGGATATGCATCATCATCATTTTAATTATCATCATGTACCATGCTGCTAAGCATAGGCTGTCTTGTATCCCCATCCCACACAATCACCAGAATCATGCATCCGTTGATGTTTTTTTTTTTTGGTCTTGCCCCATCCATGTGGCCAAACATTTTACTATATATCTGTTTGCTTTCCTCTTGCTCTTTTTACATCAATTTTGCCAGTTGTTACAAAGTTCCCAAGTCCATTTCTTCTCATAACATGCTCCATACACACAAAAATACTTACTTTCTACATCGAATTGTTTCATAAGTTCACAACTTTTTTCTGTCTCGATGAAGACTGCTTCATTTCTTTTCCTATCCCTTCATGAAAAGTTATTGTTTTCCCCCCTTGTCTTGGTTGTGAATTGATGTATGACAAGCTAGGTGTTGTGAAGGCCCTTTGGTAACGTGTGAACCATGCAGAGGCACAAACAGATCATTGTGGTCTGAGGAGAATGGTGCTGCAGGAAGTTACCAGGGGATCTGGCTGACACTCAACACTCAAAGGAAAGACGAGGTGGATATACAATCAGACAGTTACTGGTGCTCTCAGAATTGAAACTCTTCGCTTGCTGCTAAAGATGGAGATGGAGCACTTATGGGAGTGTCCTGAGTGCTTGTCTGCTTATTGTCTATGTCTCACATGCATATAACAACACAGATACTACAAAGCACTTTAACTTTTCTTTCCAAGACATTACCTCTACCCACTTTATGCTGGATCAGCCTGGCAGCCAAAGTCAATTTTGAACACTACCAGCTTCAGTGGGGATTTGAACCCAAGACTTTCGGACCAACAGGCAAGCTTATAGCCACTACCTTACTGTAGCTCCCAGATCATACTTTAACAATTTTTATTAAAGATAAACTACTTTGTACACAAGAGTTTGGTTTTTTGTTGTAGCTCCTTGCAACATTGTTGCGCCTCTTGAAAGCGTGTACATGATAAAAAATGTAAACTGTCAAATTCTGTGTTAAAGTCAACCCAACTAGATGGTGCAGAAACCTGCTCAATAAATAAACAATCCTAATGGCCACTTTGGACCAAATTACTGAAGTAGTAATTCTCTGTATGTATAAGTTTTTGGACATTAATGATAAACACTAGGAGATGTGAAGTGGTCAAGTCATTTGCCTTCCGTTTTGGTCTTTTAGGATGTCAGTATTTATCTAGCACTAAATCAACAGATAATGAAGCATTCAACTGAAATACACTTTTTTGCAACTGCTCTATACATGCAGTATTATTTAGATAACTCATAAGTGATGCCTTTCTGCAGACAGAAAAATCTTTCAAATATCCCCAGACTATACATAAAACTTACAATAGCTGCTTTATGTACTGTTCTCCCTAGGCGAATGGCTTCATTCATAAATGTCTTGTACTGCTCAAACTGAAATAAATATAAAAATATTCCAAATACGTGAGCTATGACAAAAGAAAGACTAATAAAACTATCAGTGATCAAAATCTTAACTAGAATAAATATCCTATGTGTACACTGAGTACATTCAAAATCCACAGCAGCTGGACAATGTAAAGAGTAGATAGATCATACAGCATAGTGAAGTAAAAGTAAAGGACCCTTCTCCAGGTCTTCAGGCGTATTGAGCATATAGGGCTAGACCTATACATTTAAAGACCACTTGGCACTTGGTGGGTGATGTGGTCAACATCACATCGGTCGCCTTTACTTCCCAGGACTGCACCAGATACCCACTCAAGACTGGGTTGACCTGAGAGCCAAGGTCATTTGTTTTAAAGAATCTGGCTCCATCAAGACTTGAATCCACTAACTTCCAATCTGCAGGCCAGTGTCTAGCCCCTACACCATGATGGTTCTCCATGAAGATGCTACCTGAATTAATTAATCCACAAAACCAAGTATCGTTATTTCTTCTCATTTTGGTCTTTTAAACGTTAATTTACTTGACCTTAAAGGCATTAGTTCATCTTAGTTATATTGTCAGTCTTTCCACAAGGGACTGTGATAAACATTCTGTGTGTTTTTCATTGGCACAGGAGCGGAGCAAAGATGGGGTGACCCGTTTGCTATGAAGCTGAAATTAAAATTACCAGATTACCAGAATACCAGTTATATTTAACACACCATTTCATGTATACCTGGCATTTAATAATTTAAAAATTATGTGGTGTCTCCACTATGAAAGTTTGCTACAGTGTCCACACTGTAGTCATTGGGAATATTACCTGGTAAGGCCCCAGCCTCTTATATGGGTGCCTTTTTACACCCTGTCAAAAACCAAAACAGCAACATTTTTTAAATGAGCCGTCTTCTTCTTCTTCTTCTTCTTCTTTTGTCGTGTCGCTGATTCCAGGTTGTAGCCCTGTGTGGTGGTTTTTCTGTATTTGTCTCGAGCTTCTTGGGTGGCCTGGGTAATGGATTTGTTCATCTTTTTGTAGGTTTCTGCTACACCATTTATCCGCACCTTTCTTGGTCTTCTCCTCTCTTTCCTCCCAGATATTCTACTATAGAAAGTCTCATATGCAGTTTGGTCTGTCTGCATTCTCACTAGATAGCTGAACCATATGGTCTAGCTGCATTCTCACTAGATGGCTGAACATATGGTCTGGCTGTATTCTTACTAGATGGCTGAACCATATGGTCAGGCTGTATTCTTACTAGATGGCTGAACCATATGGTCTGGCTGTATTCTCACTAGATGGCTGAACCATACGGTCTGGCTGTATTCTCACTAGATGGCTGAACCATATGGTCTGGCTGTATTCTCACTAGATGGCTGAACCATACGGTCTGGCTGTATTCTCACTAGATGGCTGAACCATATGGTCTGGCTGTTTTCTCACTAGATGGCTGAACCATATGGTCTGGCTGTATTCTCACTAGATGGCTGAACCATATGTTCTGGCTGTTTTCTCACTAGATAGCTGAACCATTTGGTCTGGCTGTATTCTCACTAGATGGCTGAACCATTTGGTCTGGCTGTATTCTCACTAGATAGCTGAACCATATGGTCTGGCTGTATTCTCACTAGATGGCTGAACCATTTGGTCTGGCTGTATTCTCACTAGATGGCTGAACCATATGGTCTGGCTGTATTCTCACTAGATGGCTGAACCATATGGTCTGGCTGTATTCTCACTAGATGGCTGAACCATATGGTCTGGCTGTATTCTCACTAGATGGCTGAACCATACGGTCTGGCTGTATTCTCACTAGATGGCTGAACCATATGGTCTGGCTGTATTCTCACTAGATGGCTGAACCATATGGTCTGGCTGTATTCTCACTAGATGGTTGATTCATATGGTCTGGCTGTGTTCTCACTAGATGGCTGAACCATATGGTCTGGCTGTATTCTCACTAGATGGTTGAACCATACGGTCTGGCTGTATTCTCACTAGATGGCTGAACCATATGGTCTGACTGTATTCTCACTAGATGGTTGATTCATATGGTCTGGCTGTATTCTCACTAGATGGTTGAACCATATAGTCTGGCTGTATTCTCACTAGATGGCTGAACCATATGGTCTGGCTGTATTCTCACTAGATGGCTGAACCATATGGTCTGGCTGTATTCTCCCTAGATGGCTGAACCATATGGTCTGGCTGTATTCTTACTAGATGGCTGAACCATATGGTCTGACTGTATTCTCACTAGATGGCTGAACCATATGGTCTGGCTGTATTCTTACTAGATGGCTGAACCATATGGTCTGGCTGTATTCTCACTAGATGGCTGAACCATATGGTCTGGCTGTATTCTCCCTAGATGGCTGAACCATATGGTCTGGCTGTATTCTTACTAGATGGCTGAACCATATGGTCTGACTGTATTCTCACTAGATGGCTGAACAATATGGTCTGGCTGTATTCTTACTAGATGGCTGAACCATATGGTCTGGCTGTATTCTCACTAGATGGCTGAACCATATGGTCTGGCTGTATTCTTACTAGATGGCTGAACCATATGGTCTGGCTGCATTCTCACTAGATGGCTGAACCATATGGTCTGGCTGTATTCTTACTAGATGGCTGAACCATATGGTCTGGCTGTATTCTCACTAGATGGCTGAACCATATGGTCTGGCTGTATTCTTACTAGATGGCTGAACCATATGGTCTGGCTGTTTTCTCACTAGATAGCTGAACCATTTGGTCTGGCTGTATTCTCACTAGATGGCTGAACCATTTGGTCTGGCTGTATTCTTACTAGATGGCTGAACCATATGGTCTGGATGTATTCTCACTAGATGGCTGAACCATATGGTCTGGCTGCATTCTCACTAGATGGCTGAACCATATGGTCTGGCTGCATTCTCACTAGATGGCTGAACCATTTCATTTTTTGTCTGCCAGTATAATCCAGACCTGGTCTTATACCAACTTTCTCTCTACTGCTGGTATTTGTAACCCTGTCTCTTCTTGTGTTGTTAGTGCCCTCGTGGAGATGAAATACAACAACATGTTCTAGTTTGCCTTTTCTCACAACATGACCACAAAATTATACCGCTGTCAAAATCAATGCAAGGTGATCTGCTACCAAATCGCCTGCATTTACTTTATAAACTGGGTACATTGCAATCACAAGGGATTCGCAACACCAAAGCCACAGATGCTGACTGGCAGAGAATGCCCGTCAAATCCAAAAGGCACAACCCAATAACAAGAGCAATTACAGTGATGATGACGACGATGATGATGATGATGATGATGATGATGATGCTAGTATTATTAATAATTATAAAAACAGTCTCACCAGTCGCGGCATTTCATGAAGTCTAGCGATGTAATTTTCAAAATCTCCACGATTGTCAAATGGAGTGGAATCAACAAAATAGAAAGGATTTCTTGTATTTCCTTCCAGCCAATTCAGTGGACTCAAGTTGTTCCAGCTGTTTGTATTTAAAAAAAAAATGATGTTTAAATTCAGTCAGGAGAGAAATCTGGTAGATATGTTACGTGTGATAATAGTTGATAGGAAGTGACAGCACTGAAGCTTGAAGTTGGCCTAAAGATTTTAGGGTTGATTTCCTTCATTTATTTTACTCTTTGAAGAGCAGCTGGCCAAATGGTTAAGAATGCTGTGCTTTCAGGCGGAAAACCCAAGTTCGAATTCTCTGTAAGTTCATGGTATTTTTCTCTTGTCAAGGGTAAAAAGAATATCCTAACCTGCATGGTGACTGCACTAGCCATGCAGCCATAAATCCTCAGGCACCAAACTGCCCTGTCTTCACTGCAAAAGTTGCCCCAATTTCATCTCATCTTGATCATCTTGTACCTTGTGGTGTCGAGGTGAAGTATGATTTACAGGAAAGTGCCAGTTTGTGTGTTTCATAAATTAGGATTTCCAAGGACTCTGTTATTCCCTCTGTCCATCGTTTTTCATGACCATTCTTTTCTTCACTTCCTGCCTCGTACATATTTAATTGATTGTCTAAGTATACTGTTTGTTGGCATCTGCATTATATAACCAAACTATTTCACTTGTTGTTTTCTTATAAAATCCAGAGCTGCCGCTGGCTCCTTTTTTCATTTGGATTTCATTGTTTCTGATCTTATCTCTTCTTGTTATATTATGAGCCCTTTGTAAATATATCATTCAGTTGCTATAATTTTTCTGTTCTCTTTTTTGTCTCATTGTTCTGGTCTTGCAATTATAGCACAGGGTTGGCAAGAAGACTGTCTTACAGTACTCTTTAGGAAAGAAAAAAGTGGCCAATAGAGACAGTAACAGAAGAAAGAGGAAGTAAAATGTAGCTCTGTCAATACCAAGCATCTCACTATATAAATTATTCTATTTATGGTTTACATTGCCTTAGTTCTTCCGCCTCAATCTTCTGTTTACTATTTTTAGTCCCATAAGATCCTAGCTAATGCCTGATTGAAGCAAAGTGATCACAACAAAAGCATGGGTATACTTCATTGACAGGATCCAAATACACAGCACATTGTGGGTGACTTGTGTTGTTGGATTGATTTAGTTCACCTGACTAAACTTAAGATGTACAAATCTACAAAACATGTTGACCGGTGCACATAGTAATATCCAGAAAACATTGTGTGTTGTTCAGAACACAAAAAGTCACGTCTGTGTCTTATTTCGCAGTAGCTATTTTAACTCAACTATTCCAAATTGTGACTTCTTAAATGTACTGAGACTTGAAATCTGCTACTGTTAAGTACATGAACTATCTGACAGAAAGTACTAAATTAACAAATGTCTGATCCGAAAGAGTTTCGAGAAAGAAAACCATTGACCATGTTCTATCCACTTTTAGGTAAGTCTTGGTTATCTTCTTTTTAGTGTTCACCAGCTGTACAGTTCTGGGTGTTTGTCCACTTCTGGACTTTGGTCTTGTTCTAGAACTTGAGTTTTGGTGCTAATCTGTTTTAAAGATGTGCTTTAATTGTATGCAAACTCTTGGTTTCTCAGTCCTCAGGCTTATGCACTCCAATTTTGAAGGAACCATCCCTGATTAGTCACCTCCTATGGCATGCTTGCTAGAGGGCAGTGTTCTATCCCTCACCCCCTCCCTCCCCCAAATGAGGCTACACAACCCACATGGGAAAGCCTCCATTTTAACTGTGATTTTAGGGCAGACAGCAATGTGATTTCAATCGGAAATACTTCAGCTAAGTGATTTTGTGTATTCTTGTTTATATTTTTGCACTGCAGATTTATGAATGTGCTGGAAAAGATTTCCTAGCTGCAATGTTCACTTACCGTTTGTGTTTGTAATAATGTGAAACTGACTGGTTCTACTTTTCATCTGCTTTATATCTTTGCCTAACATTTTAATTTTGGTCTGTGGTTTTGTAATGTTTATTCTGACATTCGCCAGTGTGACAGATAGGCCCTGTCTTGTATTTCTTTCATTGTCAACCGTGTCATTTGGGGGTCTGTGTCAGTAGGACTGGCAGCTTTGAGATGCTGGTGCTCGGTTGTGAGTCCTGAAAAGGACGTGGCCCTGATAAGGACTTAACGAAGGTTTGAGATTGCCATCGTGCTGCTAGGTTTGATTTTTCATCAAGGTAGATTTGTATGTATACTTGATCTGGATGCCCTTCCAGACAGAGTCTACAATTTCACAGGAAACCATCATTGCATGCACTTCAACTTCGAAGGAAACACCCCTAATTAATCATCTCCTATAACATGCTCGTTAGGGAAGCAATGTTCCTGATACTGGTATTTTTTAGTTGACCTAGAAGCTTAGGCCTGTTATAAACAAAAATAGGTTATTTTATTTGAAAGCAGCTGTTGGAAAGAGAAAAAAAAAGTGTGCAAGGAAATGAGCAATGGTTTGCCAGTAAAGATAATGTGAAGAGTGGACAAGCCACGGACCAGGCTGATACAATGAATACTTCATGAGAAGTAAGACATTTGCAAGAATCAAGTAACTGTGAATCTGCAATCATGACCAGACTGGAAGAATAGCAAATCAAAAGGGATGTGGCCAGAGAAGAGCATATGCAGGACGCCAAAGAAGAATAAGAAAACAAAACAGAATTGGTGTCATAATCTACTACATGCTGCTGGATTTAATTAAGAAGGGATCTGAGCATTTATGAACTGAATGTTTTCATGTGTAATGAGGCTAATCTGATAACTAACTAACTGACTGTATGCACACGGGAAAATGTATAACAGCTCATTTCAGCTCAGTATGTATCTATGTGTGTATATATGCATGTTGGTGGATGTATGTATGCATATTTAGCTGTTGTAAGTATGTGTGTGTATTTAGGTATGTATTTATGTGTGTAAAGATGTGAGTGTATGTATAAATGTGTGTATGTATGAATGTATGTATGCATGTATGTGTGTGTATGTATGTATGCATGTATGTGAGTGTATGTATTTATGTGTGTAAAGATGTGAGTGTATGTATAAATGTGTGTATGTATGAATGTATGTATGCATGTATGTGTGTGTATGTATGTATGTATGCATGTGAGTGTATGTATTCATGTGAGTGTAAATGTGTGGTTGTGAGCATATGCTGATGTCTGTACATGTGATTGTATATGTGTGTATGCATGTATAGGTGTGTATGTATGGAATGTGTGTGTGTGCATGTATATCCATAGTTGTATGTGTGTGTGTTTTCTGTTTGTGCATTTATGTCTATGTATTTTATGTGTTTTATGTTTGTGTATGTATGTAGATGCATGTGTGTATGTATTATGTATGCCTGTATATGAGAGAACATAGGAGTATGTATACAAGTGTGTGAGTGTGTACAATTGTGTACACCTGATGTGTGTATGCATTATTCTATAATTTATTTTTCTTTATAATATCCATAACATGCATTATTGATAACAGGCATTGGTACTCTGAAAAATGAGTGCTTAGAAGGGCTGAATGTCAGACGGGCCTGCGTGCCCAATTTTTTAACCCTTTGAAAATAAAGTTTGTTCGTTAGTTCCTTCGTTCATTTATTAAATGACTACTTATGTAGTCAATATTGTTATTTTAAAAAATGACCCTTTTAAAGACAAGGGTGCATGTGGCATATATGGTGTTACGATCACACTTTTTTCTTTGTAAACTCAGAAGAGATAATGTAAGTAAAATTTTGTTCTTCTTCACGTCTACCAGCTATACATTCCAGTGGAAAATTCTGGTTGTTCGCCCACTTCTGGACTGTGGTATTGTTCCAGAACTTGAGTTTTGCATGTACATCTTTTTCACAGATCTGGCTTAATTGTACTCAGATCGTTGGCTCCTTGCCCTCAGGCAGATGCACTTTGACTTTGAAGGAAAAACCTCTAATTAGTTGCCTTCTATGACATGCTTGTCAGGGAGGTGGTAGATCTATTCACGGCCATCTTTAGATATAAGATACAGCTGGACGTGATCTATTCTTGTTTCCCCCCAACAATAAAGCCCAAGAACCCATAAAGGGAAAATGGCATCAATCTTTCTGACATTGACTTACTGTCTCCACTCATAACCTTCGACATAGGTCTTGAGCATGTCTTCAATGATAGTGTAGTCAATCTTGTCTGCCTTGGATAACTTTGTTACATCAATTTCTTGAAGTAATTCTAGGTAGGACTGTGCCTTTTCCTGAAAAGATAATAATTTAGATTTGTATTTTTATTTTTATTTTTACAGCCTTAAAAGTCTATGGTTGAGCTCCAGCAAGGAGATAAAATTAGAATTTTGAGAGCATGCATCTTTCATGTACCAACATACGGATGTGAGCCGTGGACTATCTCCCAATCCTTAAGAAAGAGAATAGGGGCTTTTGAGCTGAAATGCTATAGAAAGATACTCAGAATATCTTGGACAAAGAAGAGGAGAAATACTGACATCTTGAAAAATCTGAACATCAAGGAAGATTGGCTAATAAACAGCATCCTGTCTCGGAAGCTGAAATATTTTGGTCATGTCAAGTGTCACGACGGATTGGAAAAAATAATAGCAGAAGGCATGGTACCAGGAAGGAGGGGCAGGAGCGGACCAACACGAAGATGGGCACAAGATATAAGTGACTCCTTGAGTGTGAAAGTACGTGAGGCGGGAGAGCAGGCGAGAGACTGAGTTTCTTTTAGGCAGACCGTGGTGAGAGCGACATTCTACAAAGAACCTGCTATTTGATGATGATTTTTTTTTCATTTCTTCATTTTACTGTTTTTAAGGAAAGTAATAATAATTGTGATGTAGCTTAATCAGGGCTTTTTCTTACTAAAAAAGGTGCCGGTACTCACCAAAGGAAGCTGCCATTAGCAGCAAGATGCTTATGTGCGAATTGGAAGGTCATCGGTTCGGGTCCTGATGTAGCCTGACTTTTTTTTAAATGACCTTGGCATCCATGACGACCCAGCCTTGAATGAGTACCAGGAGAAGTAAAGGTGCCTGGCGTGATGCTGACCATATCACCCACCAAGTTCCGATTGGTCTATAGAATATAGGTCTAGTCATCATCCCCAATACACCTAAAGGTGCGGAAAGGGTTCTTTAAATCTACTACTATCATTACTACTGCTACTGTTATTACTACTACTACTACTTATACTACTACTACCACTATTACTACTACTAGCATGAGTATTACTACAATTACTACTACTGTTGATATTACTACTACTATTACTACTACCACTACAACAACTATTAATACTAGTTACTATTTCAACTACTATTACTATTACTAATTACTACTACTACTCCTACTACTACCACCACCACAACTACTACAACTACTATGACTATTACTATTAATATTAATATTGTTACTATTACTACTACAGTTACTATTACTACTACAATTATTATTATTACTACTTCTAGTACAATTATTACAACTATTACTACTACTATTAGTATTGTTACTATTACTACTACAGATACTATTACTACTACTATTTTTATTATTACTACTTCTATTACTAGTACAACTATTACTACTACTATTACTACTATTACTACTACCACTACTACAACTATTATTCCTAGTTACTATTACAACTACTATTACTACTACTACAACGCCTACTACTACCACCACCATCACAACTACTACCACTACTGTTACTACTTCAACTACTATGACTATAACTACTACTATTACTACTACTATTAATATTGTTGCTATTACTACTACAGTTACTATTACTACTACTATTATTATTATTACTACTTCTATTACTAGTACAACTATTACAACTATTACTACTACAACTATTCCTACTACTACCACCACCACCACACATGGAGCCTTGCTTGAAAATAAACCCGTTAAACAGAATGAACACTTACCATTCTGGAGGTCATCAGTTTCAAATCAAACTGTTCCAGTCTGTCACTGTTTTTGTGATATCCAACACTTGACCCAAACTCTGGCCGGTCATCCAGTCTCCACATAAAGTATTCTCTTTCCAGCATCTTCAGCTTCGTGTGGTCATCACCTGGTGAAATGGACAAAGGTTATTTTTTCCATCAATTAGTTATTTCTTCCACTAATTTTAAAGAATAAGAAAAAAGAATACATTTTTTTTATTTTTTATTTTCAGCACATTTATCCTTTGCGACAGCTACTTTTTCTGCTAAAACCAGCTTTCTTGCTTCTATAACTGCTGAAATTGCAATTATTTGTATTTATTTGATTTTTAATTCTTCTTCTTCTTCCTTTTCTCCTCCTCCTTCATCTTCTTTTTTCTTTTTCGGCCACATATTCTTATTTATGTATGAATACGTGTATGTGTGCGCGTGTTTGCATATATGTATGTACGTATATATATATATTTATATATATATATATATATATATATATATATATATATATATATATATATATATATATATATGTGTGTGTGTGTGTGAGAGAGAGAGAGAGTAGGCGAATGTTAGTGCACGCGCGCGTTGTATGCGTGTCAGAATATCTGCCTCTGTGTCTGCTTTACTTAGTCTATCTGCTTTCCTTTTGTCATATCATCGGTTTTTCTGTGCTTTTTTCCAATGCATTGTACAAGTTGATGTTCATTTCTGTTAGGTTGCTCCTGATGTTGTCGCTCCATATCTTGCGGGGTCTCCTCCTTGCTCTGTGTTCATTATATTTATATTTCTCGTCAGGTGGCCAAACCATCTCATTTGTTGTTCTTTAATGAGCTGTATGAATCGTTTCAGTCCTAGTCTTCTTCTAATTTCTTCATTCTTGATTTTATCTCTTCTTGTCATACCGGCAGCTCTCCGAAGACATCACATCTTCGTTGTTACGATCTTCCGCTCATTATACCGCCATTAGCTATACATAATTATTTACAGTAACTTTCTGATAAAATGCGTATACAGTAGTATGTGCGTGTATGTTTTTCTTCTTCTTCTTCCTTGTCGTTGAAGAACGCATACTAAAGTACCACTGCATGTTTTTTTTTTGTGTGAGCATCTAGGTGTTTGTAAATATGTGTGGGTGTGTGTGTGTGTGTGTTTAAATATACGATTTTCATAAGTGTGTTTTGCATTTAGGTACTTATAAGCGTGTGTGTATTTGTATATTGGAGTATTTCAGTCAGTCAGTCAGTCAGTCAGTGTGACAATACGCTCGGTGACTCCAGAATGTCTTTCCTCAACCTACTTTTATTTGTATGTATTTTGAAGTATACAGACAAATAGGGATTTGGATACATCCTTAATCTAAATAGGATGACCACATCACACCTTTAATTCTCCTGGACCGTTGGTCATATCAAACACTAAAACTTTTTCCCAGATGTTAAGTGTTAAGGTACAGAGATAAGACTGACCAAGCAGACTTACTGACTGGAGATTTGCACACCATTTGTTGGTGTCAGACAGTTATTCCCCCAGCCTGACCTTCAGGAACAGATAACAAGGGCTAATTGCCATTATCTCCCCCTGAGGTTTCCTAAACTGGAGTGCCGGTCAGATCGTCAATATTGACACAGTGAGCGGAAAGTGTTGGCAGAAGAATTGACAAAGTCGGATTTTTATTGTGATGACAGGTGAAGTAGACTGGAGGTGTGACTTGTCTTATTTGCTCTGGTCAGATGAATTGACCAGGAGATCCTAGCGTGGGAATTTAAACAAGTGTTGTACAGCCCTGACTGACAGCGAATAAACTTACCCACAAGGGAGGAGCTGTGATATCCTTGAATGAGAATGATTTTAGGCGTAATGTAGGAGGAGCTTGATAAAAGTTATAAAGGGCTGAACTCTAGGTCTGGTAAATGAGATCCTGTCTAGCACATGCCATCTGTTGGGCTTAACTTAAGCTTGAGACAGAACTTTTGGCATCGTGGTTTCATTTTTCCAGGTAAGATCGAAATTAGGTTCAAATCTATATTTTATGATAGAGTTCTAACTGTCTTTTTGCTCAAGTGTGTCTTCATCACTTTGTAGTACTCCTAGGCGGACATTTCTTCATTCTCGTAGGGCACTGTCACATTGCTTTATATCCTATTTGATAGTGTCATGAATGTTTTTCGTGCACATGTGTTTCAATGTTGTAAAACTTAAATGTTGATGTTACCATTGAAATTTAATGAACTATCATGTTTTTGAAATCACAAGCGTGAAGATAACTTTGGCAATTTTGTCACGTGTGGTTAATGTGAATCTGTATTACATACAGCTGACACACTGAAATGTGTTTAACTCTCGGGAGGCAAATGCGGAGATTGATCCTGGAGAGAAAATCCTTGAGATTTGGTATTTGATTCGCCTCAGAAATATTGTTAGCTTTCTGGGCGCGTCGATTGTTCCAAGCATAGATTCCAGAACTGGTTCTGTCTGACTGATTGTCATTTTGAGTCTGTACGAGAGATGGCACCTGACGTAGAAGACTTGACTATCATTACAGGACGTGTAGAGGAAGGCAGAAGATGTAACAGTTGGAATGTGAGACATAAGCCCTTCCAAATTGGACAGGAGTGAATGTGAGCATGAGGGAGAGATGAAATGTTTTATTTAAATAAACATGCTTGATGTTAGTATAATATACATGCTTAGTGTACATCTAGAGCAGATACTACAAATATGCGCTTGTTTCTTCATTCTCCAGTTCCCACATTGGGCAGGGACTAGTAGGCATCCATTATTTGCCGACCGTCGAGTGTAACGACCTGCAGAAAGCAGTGAGGACGACAAACTGGGAAAAGATAGGCAGGGTCTCAAGCCGAGAACTGTCCAAAGGTTGTTACTTTCCAATACCTTTATGATTTCATCATTCACATAACCTAAACTCTACTAGCCTAAACAAGTTCATTTTAATTTCGATTTATTCAAATAAATCATGTGTGATGAGTTTCATGATAGTTGAGTAAATTGTGTACTTAGGTTCAAGTGTCTTTGTGCATATTAGTTTACTTCAGCTAACAAATATTTAAATCACTTGATGGGGGCTTTTAAGTAATGCCAGGAGAGGAGAATAGTCGCAGGGGTTAACTGTGTATCGAGATAATATCACAGTGGGTGTATCCTGATATCTATCTATCCCTTCTCCTACTCCTGTGGATACAAGTACAGCAACTTTCATTTCATGGAACGAGCCACTCGCTGTTTTCTTGGCTATCCAGGACTGTCTAGGATCAACATAGCTTAGATAATAGTCCAGTTTCTCACGTGGGTGGGCATTGTTAAGGTTCAAACCCACACCCTCACTATTTCAGTGTATTTACCCACGTGGGCGCGTGACAGTCAGTAGCATGTCCTTTGCAGAACCTTGCTCCAATAACAGCCTTCTGGAAAACATCCCGATCACAAGCAAGATGTCCCGAGTCCGACACACCTATTAGGAGATCATCCGCCACATCCTGCATTCATTTTCTCTTTGGCCTTCCTCTTCCTCTCTTCCCAAGCATATATCCCTCTATTATTGTTTTCTCTAAACTTTCGCGACGTTTCAAGTGACCAAAATATTTTAATTTTCTAATTTTTATCGTCTTCAATAGCCAACCTTCTTCAATATTCAGTGCCTGAAGTATGGATGCATTTGTTCTTTTCTTTACCCATGATATTCTCGGAACACGTCTATAACATTTGTATTCAAAGGCATTTATGCACTGTCAAGCTTGTTTAGTAAGTGTCCGGGTCTCACAGGCGTATGTTTCAATGGGTAAGATGCATGCACTTAGAAATCTTATTTTTGTAGTTCTGTGTGTCCCACTCCCTAATTTATTCAGTTGTTTTAGTCTGACGGAAAACTGGACAGATAAATTAGCTCCAGATGTGCAAAAGCTAATCAAGTAATGGGTCAACTATCTCCCCTGTTGACACACAAACAGATTCCTCGGAGTACTAAAATGAATCTTATCAGAACTATTTTTTGGCCAACACTATGCTATCAATGCCTGACGTGGACACTTACATCCTCCAATGAACGTAAAATTGTGACAACAGAGATGAAATGCCTTAGAAGAGCTGCAGGAGTTTCAAGGAAAGACAGAATACGAAATCATGAAATCAGACGAATGCTAGGAATAAAGCCAGTCTTACAGGACATCAAAGAACAACAAATGAAGTGGTTCGGACACCAAGCAAGAATGCCCTTGTACTATCTGCCACAGCGAGCCACACTAAAACGTTACAACGGGTATAGAGCGAGTGGAAGACCTCGGAAAATATGGAGTGATGTCATTAAGAACAGCCTTACAGAAATGAACATCAGTCTCAATAGTGCTCTTGACAGAGCCCATCAACGAACATTACATCTCCCCCGACACTTCGATGAGGTACAAGGTGGAAGATAAGAAGAAGAAGTTTTAGTCTTTGAAGAGCAGTTAATAATCGTCGTTTAATTTCTTTCATTATGTCACCATTGTTGGTAATCAAACCCAAGATATTCAAAATTGTCCACAATCTCCAGTCTTTCCTCATTAACATTTTATATCCATAGTAGTGTTATCTGTATGTATTATCACTGCTTTTACTATGTTAAGATCTAAGTTGTGATTTTCACCATTTCTTTGGGTTGAAGCTGTTAAGTTTTCTATACCAGTCTGTGATGGGGATAGCGATACTGTATCATCGGCATTTCGGTTCTCTGGTATTTCATGACCACCAAAATTTACGGCATCATTCTGCTCTCTGGTTTATCACCTCTGACAATTTCTCATTATATTTTCGGTGTATATGTTAAGCAAATAAGGTGACAGCACACAGCCCAGACGGACTCTTGGCGATGTCCTACACAGTCAAGTGTCTTTAAATAATCCACAAAACATAAAAATAGGTTTCCATTAAATTCTCTGGACTTTTCTATTATTAAACGCAGAGTATTTAGATTCGTGTGTTTATATATAGGTATTGTAAGTGTATTTGGACACCACAGGGGAAAAGATCTCGTGGAAGACCAAGGGAAGCCCTACGAAGAACTATCATCAGGGAGGGCTCGCTCATGGGCCACTCAAACATCCAAGACCTACAAC